CTCAAATGGGATGGGAATCGAAAAAATATATTGTGTTTCAGCAAAATGTAATTTAACAGAAAAAGTAGGTAAGTAATTAAAACTTCAAATATTATCTACTCTACACCCTCTACGGTTCCTATTAGGGAAGCTTGAATATAATGTTAATTTATATAAGGTAATAATTATAATGCCTGACTGCCTCGTTGATCGCAACTGCTGGGCATATTGTTGGGTTTTTGAATAAGTGCCAGTAGTAGCACCCCTATCATATGGGACTCATAATCATAACATAAATAGTGAAAATAGGGTTTTACATTGTATAGTGGCATTAAATGCCGTAATATGCACCTCTGCCTACCGCTTCGGGGATAAAAGGCGTGATGTTGTGTTAATTTATAATACATGGCTTTTTAATTTTGGGTATTTTGTAGTTACCTATAATGTAATAATGTTTTTAGAATGTAGCTAAAACCCATGCATGAAACGAAACGTGTTTACAAAATATTGATTTTTAAATTTGACATTTCAGTTGCAAAATATTTGGACGATTCCGATGACTTTGAACCTTGATTTTCAAGCGAAAAAGTGATATTTACCAAAGAAATACCACCGTTCATCTTCATCTATCGCTTTTACACCCCAAGTAGACGCTAAACCAAAAATATGGGTAAGTTATAACGAACAGCAAAACATTGTTTATTTAAACATATTGCGCAGTATTCCTCGCTGCTGAAGGTCGTGGTTCCGTCCTTGGGAGATCAATTTTCTTTTTTAATCAACACGACAACATACCATCACGCCTTTTATCCCCGAAGGGGTAAGCAGAGGTGTATTATGCCACTGTACAATGTAACACCCACTTTTCACTATTTATGTTACGAGTCCCATGTAATACGGGGTGAGCCTATTGCCATATTCCGGACACAATTCCAGACTCCGTGCTACTACTGTGAATTTTGAAAAACTCAGTAATACTTTGCCCCATCCGGGAATCGAACCCGAGACTCCTTGCGACCAATGAGGCAGTCTTTGTAATCGTGTAGAAATAAAGCATTTATTAGACACATAATTTATGATCTAATCTTTACTCTCTGGAGGCTTCTAGTGCCGAACATTTTTCTGATGTGAAATGTGAATAAGTAGATATTTATTTGGGCTATGACCTCATTGACCGCTCCCTCTCCTTCGATTCACCTTATTGCTGCCATCAGAGTTTGCCTGTCTCACCATCTAAGTACCTGAATCGCTTCTTATGATTGAATCGGTACAATTATTTTTTTATGGTATAGGTAAGCCGGTAAACGGCGTCGTCCATGGAGACCCGGAACATCAGAGGTGTTACAAGTGCGTTACCGGCCCTTTAGGGATTAGGAATTTGAGGATTATTGGAGATTCAGGGATTGGAGAGGGGGAGGTTAATTGGGCGTCCAGTAACATTACTCACACGAGGAAACACAATGTAAATGTTGTTTCATGTCGGTTTTCTGTAAGGACATAGTATGAAGCATAGTTCTCCCACGCTTAAATGTCAATAAGCCTTATTCTTAGTTCTAATGCCGATACAGAGCCGCAGAGAACTTAATGGGTTACTAAGGCTCTGGCTCGAAGTGCAGGAGTAGGAATGCGGCGGTGTTTAGTCAGCCTCACCCAGGCGGCAGAAGTAATTCGATGATTTACCCTCCTTAAAAAAAGGATACTTTATTCTACAAAATTGTTGGCAGAATGTATGTAGTTGGATTCAAAAGCTTTCGCTTTGTCCTTCGATATTTATTTTGTTGCTAAAGTCTCCTTGGCATTCTCCTCTCACGAGCCTGTATATAGATAGAGGATGGTACTATGGTATAAGTACCATATTCTCACAAAACAAATTTTCTTTTCAGATCACGAACTTCTCTCAAAAATGTTCGCTGAATCCCGCCAACGCTTCGGCAAGCGCTGTGATCCACAGATGGTGCAAATGGAGAACAAATTACTCCACCTACAACCTTTCGATGCAGTGGAACTTAATCTTAGTGATCCTACTAAGAATGAGTTGTATGCAGAGATGAGAGAGAAAGAAATGCAGCTTCAAAAAGCTGTAATGGACTTGATATATGCTCATGATGTCATGATGGAAGCTGAAGGTCGACTTTATGGGAGGAAAATGCGTGGTCTTCTTTGTAAGCTGTAAACTTATAGCCAATGAGATTGTGTGGCCAAGACTATTCTTGTACAGCCTTGTTGTAGAATAGTTTTGGGTGTGCAAACTCTTTGGTATTTACTGGTTTCTTTTTTAATGTTTCATTTGGAGTTGTTTCAAGAAAGAAGTGCCATAGATGATGGAAATGTGTCCTAAATTAGGTTGCCAAGGGTGCCAATAATCTGTTCATATGCTAAAATATTTAATGTGGACTTATTAGTAGGATGCGAAAGGGCACCAGGGTTTTCCTTACATCTACATAGACTACAGATGCCAAATTTTAGCTCCTTGGCCTTCACTGAAATTACAACTCCATTTGAACCATAAACTATCCTCTAAACGTCTATATCTGTGCTACAACTTTATCAAAATACTTACAGCAGTTTAGATGTGTGTGCACAAACACAATTTTCCTTTTAGCAAATTAGTTAGAAATCTTGTGGTATATACTCTCTTTTTATGAGCTATTCTTACCATGTTGTTTATTTGTTGCCTTGTATTAAGTGTTTATTTATATCTAAGTTGAATTTATATGTGTAAGAATAAAAAGGTTGGGGACGTGAATAGATGGATAGATTCAGTAGCGTAACTATACCGGCCGACCCGATAAAAAACAGAGAAGTTCAGATAAAAACCTCTGTAATGATGTCATTTTGCCGACATGTAGGTACGTCACTGGATAGTTTTGGTGAAGAATGATATGAAAGAGAAAGGAGTCTGTGATAGAAGAGAATGGATAAGTGAGACATTTGTACCGACCCCAAGTAGCTTGGGCAGGGCAAGAAAAAGACTTAAACGAGAATGGAATAAGGGTATAAAGAAGACTTCTAGTCAGTCAGAACGTGAGTTCTAGTCAGTATTACGCTTTTTATTCTACAAAGCTGTAGGCAGGAAACCTCAAATAGATCTCTCTTTAATTTTTAAGCTCCATACTCTATGCAATCTCGAGTCTCTTATATAAAATAATATATTGCTTTAAATGTTTATTAAATGTTGTAGAAACTAAGAATAGATCACACAATTTGTTGTACACCGTCATATAGGCATTAGAAACTGGTACAGATGTTATGGAAGCTACATAAAAGAGTCACTTAAAATAGAATGTCATTTACAAGTATGGGCTCACTCAACGGAGCACTAGAGTGGTGAATTCCAAGATAATAATAAAAAATAAAAGTAATTCAAACAATGATATGTTTAAAATATTGATTATGATCATCATAAAGTGTTTATTGTTTAATATTTATCTTTTTGTGGGAGTTTTCTACACTTCTACAGTGCTCTTTCGATTGAGCCGAGTTTACAAAATGATAAAGTTGAATATCTAGTAAACTGGAAATGGTAGCTCTGTACCTTATAACCTGCTATCAGAATGAACTGTATTGCAGCTATCCTGCAAGTTAAGGAATTCGGCTGTCCTGCGGCTCCAGGATCTAACATCAGTTGTTTAACAGAAAATTATGGTTCACGATTACACTATGTGTTGTTGGATAAAAGGAACAATGCTGCAATGTAGTTTCTCTGATGGTGTGGATTTAGAATGTGCAAAAATTATGATAATTGTAAAGAACAGTGTTCACGGTGTGCCAACAAATGTATTATGAAATATGTTAATATTGCAATGTTATTTTCATGATATTAATTAACATAACTGTTGTTCACCGATTATAAGGACTACCACTTTTTGCTCAGTGTTTATCAAATGACTGTAATGCAGTGTGAGGACCTGTTTGTTTGTCTAATAAAAAAGTATGAAACCATTGGATTGGAATGACAGGTCATGAACATGTGGAATTTTTTTTTTCTTCGGACTTAAGACCTCCCTGTATATTAGTGTCTTCTGCTGAACAAAAAGAAAAGTTAGCCCTTATTTGACTCTTATTAAATAGGGTCCTGTTTTATTGAGAGTAATTTTTTGGTCATAAGGTTTCTCAATTTAAATAGGACCCGTTAACATATTTATTTATAAATCTATTAGAAAGTGATAGTAGATTGTAGTTTTAGATTATAGCATGTTATTTATTGACTGTATTCTTTATTAATGAAATATTAATGTTATTAACAAATAAACATATCGTATCTGATATTGTGTTTTTTATTTGGGGGGGGGGGGGACAAAGTTTTGGTGCCTTGCAGGGACAGAAAAAAATTTAGCAATCTCTTGTCAGAACAAAATAAAGAATAAAATAATACGGGACTTTAACCCGTTGAAAATCATCCCCTAAATTTGTTCATACAAAAGTAGTCTTCAAACATTGGAAATAAGGTCTATAATGTAACTGTTAGTGGAGAGCGGTCCTCGGTCCTCGGCGACCGCTTGGGGATAAGTACCTACCAAGGTGTGTCAAAGCATTTTTTAAATACATTCAGCCAATTCAGGGCTTAATTAAGGACCCGGATTTTGTTTCAATAACATAAAAAACTAATAAACATCCAACTCTGCACCATCATTGTTTTTTATTGACTTTTTTTTGTTTTTTTCATACATATTATACTCTTTGGTTTTTTGAATGCTGGTGTATCCGAACAATATTTTAAAACTTGACATATTGCTAAATAGGTAATCTGTTCCGGTTGTAGCATAGACAAGAAAGTTATATTTTTTAATATAAAGCATAGCTTACACCTACGGCAAAACGTCAATGGAAATAAAATAAAATTGTTTTAGTAAAAATAGTAGAAAATAACTTTATTTACATTGGAATGACGTTTCAATACTACTGCTCTTATTTAAACACGTAACACAGGGTTTTGGAAAAATATACCATATAGTTTCTACTCCATTTACAGAGTTTTGGTAACTAAGCAACAATTTTTGTCAAAATTGTTGATCTTTGAAATGGTGATCAGAAAATTCTGTGAGCTAGTTCAGAAATCTATTACGCAAGAATTTAATCTTTCGCGTATTATATTCTCTCCTTTTCGCGTATTAACTTCATTAGTGCAAGTTGAAGAAGTAAGAGGGCAAAAAATGACGGAACTTCAAACCCTTTTTAAAGAGCACTGCGTTGTTCCTGATGTGATAAATATATCCCCTTCAGAATTGTTGACCATAAAATATCCGAGTGGTTCGGTTGTAACAACGGGTAAAGAGTTGACTCCTACTCAAGTTAAAGATCAACCGGTTGTACAATGGGCTGCTAAAGAGGACGAATATTATACGCTAGCAATGGTTGATCCTGATGCCCCAAGCCGTGAAGAACCCAAGTTTCGTGAATGGCATCACTGGCTGGTAGGAAATATTCACGGCGGACATATTGGGAAAGGCGAGATATTGTCTGAATACATTGGATCCGGTCCTCCTAAAGGAACAGGCTTACATCGCTATGTGTTTTTGGTATACAAGCAGCCTGAAAAATGTGATTTCTCTAAAATAACAAAGCTTCGAAATAATTCAGGCGAAAAAAGAGGAAAATTTTCTATTGCAAAATTTGCGACGCAATTCAAATTTGGAAGCCCGATTGCTGGCAACTTCTATGTAGCCAAATATGATGACTATGTGCCGAAATTGTACGCTAAATTGAAGGGTTAATTTTATTTATGAACTTTTCAAATTGTTACTAAAAACTAAAAACAACAACGAAATTGTAGAAGGTGCTTTATGGTGGAACATCCGATTGTCTATGGTAGCAATCAATAATTTCCGCCTCCGCGTGACATTTCCATTTTTCGGCCGTCTGTCCGCCATTACATTTTGGGAGTTTGCGTAAATTGGCCGTAGCTCTGCGAGCACGCATTACCGCGCCGCGCGTTATCAGTGACAGTTTATTCGACTTCGTGCGTAGTATCGCAGCGTTTTGTGAAACCAAGAGTATAGACGTTCAATCGTATGTCCATCCAGAATCTGAACACATTTGACCCATTCGCCGATGCTATCAAAAGCTCGGAAGACGACGTACAAGATGGTCTAGTCCACGTCCGTATTCAGCAGCGGAACGGGCGTAAGACTCTCACAACGGTGCAGGGGCTCTCTTCGGAATATGACTTGAAGAAGATAGTGCGGGCATGCAAGAAGGAGTTCGCGTGCAACGGAACCGTCGTGGAGCATCCGGAGTACGGCGAGGTGCTGCAGCTTCAGGGCGACCAGCGCGAGAACATTTGTCAGTGGCTCACGAAGTCGGGCCTCGTCAAGCCCGAGCAGCTGAAGGTGCACGGCTTCTAAGCCTGCGCTAGCACACGTAACATGACCATCTCTCGCCTGCCTACTTTCACACAACTTACTGTACACAGGCTGTCCCGTTAGGTTATTTCATACTTGTAAAGAACATGTTATTTATTTAACAAATTATTGATTAAATTACATGTTAATTAACAATAATTAACAATTATGTTAACAAATTATTAATTGAATCATAATAATGCGCACGCTCTCATGATATAAGAAGACTATGAACGGTGTGCCTGACGCGGTGGGCGCTGTGTCGTCCACAAATAAATATTGTGTACTTCGTGAGATATTGTAATCAATTGTTGCTTTTGTTTGCTAGTATTTTCGAGAAACGAACATAATAAAGGCGTGATAACATTCATGAACCAATGATTTTAATTCATTTATCACTGATGTCTAATGCAATTATAAAATTATTACAAGTCCATTGACGCACGGCAACTGTCATACAGAGCTATGTAGGAGAATGAATTCAGTGTACATTCCTCGCTGTCTTAAATGTTGTTAAACGTGTTTATTAGTTACGCATCAACGTGTATGAAATAGCAACGTTAGTAAATCGTCGAGAATATCGCTCGACAAAGAGGAAGAATCGAGTTTTATTAGCAGTTTTGAAGTGTTATTGTGGCTCTTATGTGTTGGGCACAAGAGCTATAATAAAGATACAGGAAAAAACGGTGTGAGTCACGTCCTCGATATAGCGAGGTTGTTACCGTGAGGTCACCGCCTCGCTAACTGTACTAAATATTGTAAAAATCAAAGATATTACGATTAATTTCATTGAGGTACATGAAGCTGCAAAATATTTGAGCTCAGAATAACCGCCAGGCCCCAATTTAAATTATCGAATAACCTTTATTTTTTTATCTGACGATTAGATGTCGGAGCCGAAGGTATATCTTCGACGGACGGTTATGTCAACAGATAACTTATTATTACTCATGGCCATGGCTACCTATAATTTTACATCATTATTTACACAAAAACATCATTTTCGAATTCCTGCAATAGGTACAGAGAATAAAATAACGTTGGATAAATTGCTCCAAGAAATCTACGGTGACATCACAGTTCGGTCTAACGGCATTGCTGACGCGTCGGAGAATGTAAGTAGGTAATCTCGCCAAAAGTGTTCAAGAGGAAGTAACATGTAGGTATTAATCTAGAAATATAAAACAAATACACCTGAAACTCTGGTTTTCGAAGCTCATGGTAATTTCAGTGGATTACAACACTTCCCAATATAAAAAAACTGATGAAATATCTTTGGGTCCTCCCGTGGTATTTTATCCACAGCCATGGAGAACTGTAGGTTTAGCAACATGTTTCCGAACCCCCACATGTAAAGCTTCATGCTAAAACTTGAGTTCAATGTGCCGACACTTTGATATGAAAACGAAGAGGCGGACAAAACAGCACGATTTGAAGAATGCGTCATCTTAGCGTCAAATACTTTTTCAGATCATTTCAAAGACACTTCTAGACGTCTAAGATTCTAAACTTTATACATCTTCGTAAATAAATATCTTATCTTCTTTTATCATAAAAACATTACAGACATAAATATTCCTGTTTGCATAAACGATAAACAAATTACATTTACGTAGAAATGTAAATTACCTACGACATCAATTCTAAATATTGTGTGTAAATACAGACAACGTTCGATGTGAATCACCACGTGTTTTTAGCTGACTGATGCAATTACAATATTCATGTTATTGTTAAATAGACTGAACAGCCAAAGCTTCTAATCTTTCGTTTTTTTTTTTAAATACTAGACAATGACTCTTACCTGTGCGGCCTTTGTCTGGCAAAATGGTGATTTTTTTTTCAGTGCAAAATAATCCTTTTGACCATTGTTTTGTTAGAAAAACAATGCAAAAATATGAAAAATGTTACATAAGTAAAGGGATAATGGAAGTTAGGTAGGTACAAAGTCAACGAAATTGGTGATGTTAGCAGTTAAAAGAATTTGAAAGATAAATGCCCACGGGTCTAAATTAACGTGAAATTGATGAATGTGGAATGAATGAAGAGAAATAGTACAGTCAGGTGTACCGTTATGTTATTATTTACCGTTTTATTGTAAACCCCCCTTGGGAGTCGAGACGTTACAAATTACGATATGTGCCTACAAAAAATAAAAATCTCAATATTTATGAGGCAAACTGCCACATTGCTATTTGTATTTTCTTAGGCGCTACTGAGGCGAGACTAAAATAATTCCGTAAAATGGTATTTTTTTCAATTGATACTTGTAAATTTAGCACCATGTAAAATATTTTTATATAAAAATACTATGGTATTAAATTTAGCAGTTATGATGATGTATTGCACGACCTAATTTTAAGTACCTATATTTTGTATGTATTTAGTCGCAATATACGAATACCAAGTAAACATGTGGCAATTTATTTCATGACTTCTTGCGTGTAACAGTTATTTTTTTTCTATACCATAAGCCGGTAAACGAGCAGACAGATCACCTGGTGGTAAGCAATCGGCGCCGCCCATGGACACCCGAAACACCAAGGTGTTACAAGTGCGTTACCGGCCTTCTGGGAATTGGGAATTTGAGGATTGTGGAGGATTCGGGGAGTTATATAAAATCCCTGAAGTTACAAACCTACTTCATTTACCTAGTTACCAGCTTCCTTCGAGTTCATACATCTATTCTACAACATTAGATAACTACGTGTAGATACTCCGCATCTGTCAACAATATTATAATTATTAAAGAAACGACTCAAATAAGTAAGTATGATACAAAGAATGCAGTAATTATTATAAGTAAGTACTAGGTACATGTTTGCATACTTCTTCAGCCTCTTCAGGAGAGACATACTGATAAAGGTCACTGGATACAGATCGCTTCCGACCCAACTAACTTATCTAGATGTCATTGGAGTAGGTCTTTATCCAGTGTCGTGGTGGCTCGAAGGTTAAGAAGCCCGCTTCTCATGCATGAGAGCGCGGTACTAATGTGACTTTTATCGAGTTACATGTACTTTTTAAGATTATTTAAACACGACTGCCTCATTGGCCGAGTGGTCGCAAGTGCGACTGCCGGGCAAGGGGTCTCGGGTTCGATTCCCGGGTCGGGCAAAGTATCACTGGGGTTTTTTAAAAATCTCAGTAGTAGCACGGAGTCTGGAAATGTGCCCGGTATATGGCAATAGGCTCACCCCCTATTACATGGGACTCATAACATAAATAGTGAAAAGTGGGTGTTACATTGTACAGTGGTATAATGTGCACCTCTGCCTACCCCTTCGGGGATAAAAGGCGTGATGTTATGTTATGTATTTAAACACCGCTAACAAATGGTGAGGGAAAAATATTGTAAGGAAGGAAACCTAGGCTAAAATTAGCGGATTGGCAATTCCAAACTTATATTTAAAGTTTGGAATTGCCAATCCGCATTCAGCAAGCGTGGTGATTAGTGTTCAAACCTTTTCCGTGTGAGAAGAGGCTTTGCTCAGCAGTGGGCATTATAGGCTGTTGATAACGATAATATGTTCAGGGGGCTTACTCTCGAATCCAATTCCGATCGATCAACATTGGTATTGTGAAATTTAGTACTCTTGAGTTGCAACACTAGCGCCCATTGCATCCGTATTGTGTGGATATTTAATGAACTAAATGGTATTGAGTTTGGCTTTATATTCCGTACTCTGAATGCTATTTCAACAGCTACGATAGGGGTTGTATAATTTTGACATTGAATAATTATTGAGATTTTATTGGATTGAAATTTAGATTGGGTTCAAGAGTAAGCTAACAGTTACGCTGTGTGTATGTGATCTTACTCATATTATAAATAAGAAAGTTTGTATGTGGGAATTTTTATTAGGTACACAACCAAGTGAAAGCGGTTGAAGGGTTTGGGATGTGGAACAGGGGTAGATTGTGGAGTAACACATAGGTTACTATCCCACGGGAACGCGGGCGAAGCCGTTGACCGAAGCTAGAATTTTTTATTTTTTAACGGGGGAAAAAATCATCGAATGACTGCTCCCGCCTTGGTGAGACGGGAGGGAGTGTCAGATTCTTACTGATTAAAAACCACCCCCGTTCCTTCTCCTGCACGTCGAGCCGGAGCCCCGGTAACCCGTTAGGTTCTCCGCGACAGACAGACGGCGGATAGCGACTTTGTTTTATACTGATTAAAATATGTAGTGATGATGTATAATATACTATCTCCATTGTTCATGTCCTAAGACATTGAGCTTCACCGACTCCATATATTTTTGGATAGGTGCCAGGGAAAGATTCTTGCTCACTCGTAAGTTACAGGAGCATGGAAACACCTTTGTTTTAAAACAGGAGGTAGTGTGTTAGTCTAAAGTCCATAGGTAATAAAATAACTTACAAAAACGGACTGTTGGCTGGCTCTAAGCTCAAACCTTTTTTGTTTAGGGAGGCAATAGGCTTGGCGTTTACTTACTAATCTGTATTTTAAAATGGGTATAGGTTGATCCAAAATCAAGTAAAAAATAAGTAACAGAGATAAAAGGTAATGTTATTATGAATTTGAAGAATTCTTTCCTTTACCATTTACTTTCCTGATGTTCTGAAATGACAAGTATGGTAAAAGCTGGAAGCGTTGAGATATTAACAAATAATTAATTATGAATTAAACTAAGTGTGAAATAGTTTTTACTATCCGTATTTAAATTTAGCGATGATTCATGGTTATACATGTACGGCTAGCCCAAATATGGCCCTTGACCTTGTTGAACCATTGTATCGTAGTTGGTTTCGAAGAAGACTTTTTGTAGAAGGAAAATATTAATTTATGATGACAATCCGAAACAAAAAGTGAAGACTTGAATTTAACAAATAATGAACTAGATGGCACCACTAGTAACAGTCTGCCAAACATATCAGATGACGAAGACTCCGAAGAAATTCTTCAACTAAAAAACAAAGTCAAAGAATTGACACTGCAACTAGAGACTGCACACCATGAAGTTGAATCTCTAAGTATAGATAACACAAATCTCAAAAAAACCATCGAAAACTTAACAAAGAAGGAAAACATCTACAAAAAATTTACTACTGACATTGTAAATAACACTCCAAAAAAGAAAAAGACCTCGCAACCCGTTCCGACAATAGATTTATGTATAACCCCTGAATCAACTAGGGGAGGTATAAAGCTTACTCCAGAAATGGCTTATAAAACAACTGCGGAAGTCATACCCCAGGTGGTAAACAAAAGTACTCAATGCGACTCTAATGAATTTAAACATTCATTGTGTAAGGATATAAGACAGCAAAAAATAAACGACACACAACTCCTAAAGAAAAAACCAATAAAAAGCAAACTAAGTATACTAAGCACTAACAACAGAAATGGAGTTTGCAACATTATTGAAGATTTATTTCCAACTTTTTATGAATTTTGTCATTATTCATATCCAAATTGTGGTATTAATCAACTCCTGAGTGGCATAAAAGAGAAGGTTAAACACTTTGGTAAAACAGATTATTGTGTCATCTTAATAGGAGAAAGAGACTTCTTGAGAACTGAAAACTATCACGATACAGTGTACAATATTAGAGATACCATCGAGAAACTAAGCCACACTAATATAATTATATGTCTCCCAACCTACAGGCAATGTGGAGAAAACACAACAATATACAACTGTCGGGTTGAGCTGTTCAATAATCTTTTATATCTCCATAACACAACATATCAGTATGCTTATTTGCTGGACTCAAACGCTGACTTATGTTATGATAGTACAATGTTTTCCGGTCGTCGAGGTCTCCTAAATGACACAGGCATGAAAAACGTAATTGCGAATCTTAAACAGACTATTTGTGATATACAGATGGAGAATAATAGTACGCCAACGCAGTCGATGCATCTGAAGATATATCGAATCAATTTTTTCTATGATCATTTGTCAATAATGCATCAAAACATCGCAGGACTAATAAATAAGGCAGACCAATTACTTTTGCATCTAATTGAATTTCAAAACCGCATAGACGTGGTTTGCGTTACTGAACATTTCATGGAAGCTGGATATGAAGATTTTCTCACTATACCTAATTATAAACTGGCAACTAGCTTCTCGAGGGATACAAGAAGAGGAGGAGCGTGCATATTAATAAAAAACGACCTTCAATATAAAGAGCTGGACGACATCAGGAAACTTTCAGTTCAGGGAGCATTCGAGTGCTGCGCAATCGAATTAACACAACACAACATTATTATTGTATGCATCTACAGAATACCTAAATTAAAAAATCTTGATACCTTTTACTCTAAATTGGATATTCTATTGCCTAGGATTTGTTATAAAGCGCGCAAAAATGTTGTTATATGTGGTGACTTTAACATCAATACTTTAAAGAAAAATAGTATATCTCTTGAGTTTATTAATTATCTATTAAGCTATAATTTGGAACTACAAATTGATCAGCCCACTAGGCTACAAAGCAATACGTGTATAGACAATTTTGCGCACAACTTCATTCAAAAATGTACTCATAATATAGTGGATCTTAACATGTCGGATCACACCGCTCAAGTTTTAAAGATCCCTGTAAAAAAGACTTGTACACTGGACAGTTGGAATATAACAGCGCGTGATTACAGCTACGATAACCTTGTGAAATTTAGATCAAGTTTATACCCTTTGTCGTTTTGTGAAATCTATGAAGCAGATGATCCTAATATAGCGTATGATGCCTTTATAGAAATATTCCGACTGTTTTATGACTTGTGTTTTCCCGTAATTAACAAAAAAATTAAGTTAAAAAGGAAACCAAACTGGTTAACACCGGGCATAAAGCGTTGCAGCCGAAATAAAAGACAACTTCTTTGGCAACTAAGAGCAAAACCAAATTACAATAACTTAACGAAACTTAAAAGTTACACGCAAAGATTAAAGAAAATAATAAAACTAACACAAAAGGCAAGAAATAACCATAAGATAATGACCTCAACCAATAAATCCAAAGACACATGGAGGATCATTAATGAAAATAAATACTGCTCTCCCTATGAACACATAGCGGAAATACGAAGGAACGGGGATATAATAACCGACCCTAGTGATATCGCTAACGCATTTAACAATCACTTTGTGGAACAAGCAGAATTACTTTCGAAGGTCTCAAAATCTGCAAACTATGAAATCCCGCATACATGTTGCAAATCAATGTTCTTGGCTCCGACTACACCTGATGAAATACGTAGGCTAATAGACAATCTAAAAAATAAAGTTAGTGTAGGATATGATGACATCTCGACAAAGGGATTAAAATTTGTTTCCGATATAATATCTGGGCCCATTTGCCACATAATTAATGTTAGTATCTCATCTGGAATCTATCCTGATAAACTCAAACCAACTATAATTAAACCTCTATTTAAGAAAAATGATAAAAATGATATAAATAATTATAGACCTATTGCCCTAATACCAATGATATCAAAAATATTTGAGAAAGCGATTCATCACCGTATAGATTCTTTTTTTACAAAACATAATTTATTAGTACAAGAACAAAAGGGTTTTAGAAAGAATACATCAATAAACATGGCTATCTACGATTTCCTTAACATCTTAATCACAAATATTGACAACAGAATCCCAATTAGTGCTATATTTATGGACATGACGAAAGCTTTTGACTTAGTTGATCATAATATTTTACTACAGAAACTAAATGCTTATGGAATAAGGGGCAAAGCACTTTCACTTATACAATCATATCTTGACAATAGAACGCAGTGTACGGAAATTAAACGAGTCTCAAAAAAAGGTAAAAAGGAACTTAAATATATGTCTAAAACACGTAAAGTCACTTATGGCGTGCCACAGGGTAGCGTACTGGGCCCGCTGTTATTTTTGGTTTACATAAATGACTTTCCAAAACACGTCACTTTTCCTATGGTTCTTTTTGCTGATGACAGCACAATACTTGTTGAACAGAATAAAAATAGAAATTATGAACGTGACATTAAAGATTCTTTGCAACAATCAATTAATTGGCTTGATCAAAATAATTTACAATTAAATGTAAATAAGACTAAAATTATCCAATTTAGACAAAGAACAACTACTCCTGACATAAATATATTTTTTGACGATAAAAGAATTGAAGAAGTAGAGCATACAAGATTTCTGGGACTAACTATTGACTGTAAACTGACCTGGAAAGAACATGCATCAATTCTTATAAAAAAATTAAGTCGCTTTGCCTTTGCTCTATACAAACTCAAGAAAATAGTTAACCAGGCAGCAGTTGTTGCTGCATACTATGGTTATGTTGAATCCACATTAAGATATGGTGTAATTTTTTGGGGAAATTCCTCCGAGAAATGTACTATTTTTAAAGCACAGAAAAGGTGCATTAGGTCGATGTGTAGCTTGAAAGTAACGGACAGTTGTGAACCTCATTTTAAATCTCTTAGAATACTAACTTTACCCTGCCTTTACATATACGAAACTGCACTGTTCGTCAGAAAAAATAGTACTTTGTTTAAAAAAGCCTCTGAGGACCGTCATAGATCGACAAGATCAGAACGTCGACACGAATTATGTCTGAGAGCCTCAAAAACAGCCCTTAAGCATAAAAGTATCCTTTGCATGGCACCCAAAATATATAATAAAATCCCAAATACTATCAAGAATCTGAATTTAACACAATTTAAACGGAAACTTAACAATTTTCTAATTGATAAATGCTATTATGCCATTGACGATTTCTTTCATGACAAAATGTAATAAACTGACAACTATGTGTATAATTAATTATGAAAACTTGGGTAACTTATTGTTTATTTAATGCTTGTATTAATTTATTTTGTTGCAAAATTTTTGACATTTTTGCTATAGATTGTTTATTTAATGCCTAATTGCCTGTTATAATTTATATTGTGACTAATTTTTGACATTTTATTAATTATTTATGTTAAAATTTTGAATGTGATGAATTTTGATTATTTTTATGATGATGATGATTATTTTTATACTTATTAAATAGTGTATGCCTAATGGGCAGCTTTTTGCGCTACTATAATAATAATTTTAAGACCTTTTGTATCACCAAAAAGCACACAAATAAATACTTTGACTTTGACTTTGAATAAATTGTATTTAGCCAAGGACGTTTTTCAACGATCTTGTATTTAGACAATATTTATCATTTTTGGATTTCCCATAAAACGTTTCGTTGTTAACCGTTGTACCATTTTACAGCGAAACGGAACGAAACGTTGATGATTAATCTGCCAATCTGACGTTTATTTGACAACATCAATTTTGGAAATTCTGCATTGTATCCGCAATACTTATTTGGGAACAATTCTAATTAAATCCAATATAAATAAAATTTAAACACCTAATAATAAGTATGCTATATTAAATAAGAAGTCTTTCAACTGACTTCAGCAATTCTTAATTCAAATAAGGTAGTGTACACTATGCATGTAACTTCGTTTATGAAATTTACAGTTTTAAATGCATATTGTTGAATAAAATTACAGTTTTATGAAGAAATAAGAAGTAAAGATGTCGGATAAGTTGTTGACGCTGGGCCAACGGGTGATGGTGGTCGGTAAAGACGTAAAAGGCTCCGTCGCTTACGTAGGATACCCCACCTTTGCAACTGGGAAATGGATTGGTGTAATTCTGGATGAACCGAAAGGAAAAAATAATGGCACTGTTCGAGGACACGCTTATTTTACGGTAATATTGTGTTACAAATTTTTTCTCATACATGCTAGCTTTATCCCAACTAGATTGAGGTCAAAAATAATTCTGACTCCTGTATGTCAGTATTTTACTCACAGCGACTGTGATTTACTCTCCAGTAAGTTAGAAAGGCAACCCGTCTTGAGCAAACATGGTGATTAATGCTCAAGTGCCTATGCCTTGAGAGTGGGTACTTGTGGGCTGTTGATGATGATAAAAATTAGAATATTAGATTCATTGTATTGTCCATTTGTTTTTGCTTTTATATGAGCTGCTACAAATTGTGTAGCCTTGTAAGTGGAGTGAGTGTAACCATGACGGTTGACCAAGATAATGAAACACAGAGAATAAGCCTAATAAGACAAATTTCTAGACTCTATGCTAGTCGTGCAGAACCTAACGGGTTACTGGGGCTCCGACTCGATGTGCAGGAGTAAGGTGGTTTTTAGTCAGTAAGAGCCTGACACTCCCTCCCGCCTCACCTAGGCTGGAGCAGCCATTTGATGATTTTCCCCCTTAAAAAATGCTATCTGTTATGCATAATTTTTTTTTGATACCCTGTCACACATTAGGACTTTCTCCCCTATGTTGTGTGAGCGTTTACAAACATACAAGTTCATATACACATGACACTCAGACCTGGAACAACGATCTGTGGATCACACAAAGAGTTGTTCCACGACTAGTGGTATGGCAGCCAGATGTTCAGTCACACTGGCAACCTTGCAGTCGAACAGAATTAAATACAAATCCAATACATAATGATATGTATGAATCACCATCTGAAACATTTTACGTACTGCACCAAAATATACTTTATCGTTTCCCAACTTGTGGTCCGGGGACCCCTGGGGGTCCGCGAGTATATGTATAGGGGTCTGCGGTGTCATCTGTGGACCACATATAAATCTCTCATTAACTCTTTGAGTACCGTCATTATAGACACAATTAAAGAACAATAGGTTGCGGTCACCGGTGTCCTCGTGGTGTTTGACAGTTTAAATTGCAAAAGGGCTGCAAAAACAGCTTACAAAGTAAATTCTGATTAGAGATTACAGACTACTTACTAAGCAGTAGCGATATCAACCCGAATAACCCTGATTTAGATGCAAAAAAGCAATACCAACCTTCACATTAATTTGTTGATTTTTTTCATATTTTTCATATTAACTCGTCGATTACCGTCATTATAGACACAATTAAAGAACATTGCTTGCGGTCACCGGTGACCGCTTGGTGATTGACAGTTTAATAGTTATAATTACCTTCTGTATTTGTTTTTTTTCGCATCTGTAATCACAAAAATAAATACGTAATCCATTTTTTTTGCTATTTTAGTAATGGGGCTCCGTGAAAATTTGTTTTGATTTCCAAAGGGGCCGTGGGCAGAAAAGGCTGGGAAACACTGCTTTATAGTATTACAACTGCACAAGTTGAAACATAAATAAATAGTAGAGCAATGAACATGTTTGTAAACTGTTAGTACTTATATTGACAATGTGTACTTGTATGTCCGTCAGTTTAAACATATATGATTTTATTCATTAAACTACTGTGTGGAACTATGTGCGACTTAGGGTTTTTGTCCATAGAAAATTAAAAAAGAAGTTTGGCACAGATAGCACAAAAATATATATAAAACCAAACAGTAGATGCATAAAATAATATGGTGCGTTAATTTTTTATTATTTTATGCACCAGTAGGTGCATTATATTAATTCGTTAATTAATAACATAACATCACGCCTTTTATCCCTGAAGGGGTAGGCAGAGGTGCACACTGAAGTAACACTTTTCACTATTTATGTTATGAGTCCCATGTAATAGGGGGTGAACCTATTGCCATATACCGGGCACAGTTCCAGACACCATGCTACTATTGAGACTTTTTTAAAAACCCAATTATACTTTGCCCGACCCGGGAATCGAACCCGAGACTCCTTATTAAGGAATTAGTTAGGTAAAAACAAGAAAAACTAAATATATGATTTTGTTGTTAAATATTATCTTCCTAGCCCATTCGTGCCGAAGCATGGCTCTCCTACACTTAGCATGGCTCTTCCACACTTCTATCTTCTCCTAATATCTACTTAAAATAATGTTTGGACCCAAACAATATAGACAAAGTCACAGGCTCATGTTATACTGTTCAATAATTTAAATTGCAAAAGCTGGCTTCCTGAAATTCAAGGATTATGTTGCAAGTAAGACCTGAAATTGTAGAATAAAATTTTTATAAAACAGTTGAATTATGATGGCTGACAGTGTACCTGATTTGGTTAGTCTGGGAGACGTTTTTAAGTGTTTTTTTTTTAAGGGGGAAAATCATCGAATTACTGCTCCCGCCTTGGTGAGGCGGGAGGGAGTGTCAGACTCTTACTGACTAAAAACCACCCCGTTCCTTCTCCTGCACGTCGAGCCGGAGCCCCGGTAACCCGTTAGGTTCTCCGCGACACGTTTTTAAGTGTTAGAGAGCTATCTTTGCCGGCTCGACCGGAGTGATACCACGACCTCACAGAAAACTGACGTCAAACAACGCTTGTGTTGTGTTTCGTCGTGTCATTGAGGTTACCAAAGCCCCAATTACCCCATTCCCCAATCCCTGAATCCCCAACAATCCTCACATTCCTAATCCCCAAAAGGCTGAACACACTTGTAATGCTTTTGGTGTACCAGGTGCCCATGGGCGACGCAGTCTGCTGTTTACCAGCTTATCCCATAGAAAAATGTTTTATCAAAATCAGCCCATGTTTGGCTACTGCGGGACATAGGACAAGGACATCATCATCATCATCATCATCATCATCATCATCATCATCATCATCATCATCATCAACATCGACAGCCGGAAGACGTCCACTGCTGGACAAAGGCCTCCCCCTTAGCCCTCCACTCCAAGACAAGGACATACTTCTTAAGTCCTTAACCAATTTTTTTATACAAACACAATTATAATAAATTACAGTGCGAGGAAAACTACGGAGTGTTTGTACGGCAAACTCAGATCCAGTTGTTGGACTCTGAAGACAATCCGATGGAGACATCCATGACAACTTCCTCTGAGGAGACGAAGACTCCTGCTACCAACCGAAGGCTAAGCAGGTATGTTATTTTATAGAAGTTAGATGTTTATGTGATTTTGTTTTGTCTTATGAAAAAGTATTGATGTAGGTGTTTATACTTCAAGTTTTATGTGAGATATGGTGCGGTGTGAAAAGGAATCATTTATTAAGTTCATCACTTAGAGAGTATGCAATATGTTATATATCTTAACAAGTTTTCTTTTTTTTTTATAAGGCACAGCTTATATCAGTCCCATTGAAAAATAAAGTAGTTACTAGATTTTTTACGTTTCAAAAGTGCCTAAATGTAAATCTAAGTATAAGTGTACTCAATAATCGGGGTGACGTTTTCTATTAAGAAAAACCCTGTAAATAAATAAAGATTAAAAAAAATTATAATAAAAAAGTGCCTAAATAAGGATTAATTGAAATATATCCTTTGATATTCAATAACATTAATTAGGGACAGATGGACCAACTTTTTATATGATTTGCGAAAGTACTTTTTTTTTAATAATTTAAAGCAAGTGTGTGGAGTACAAGGCTAATTACGCGAAACGTAATAGAATTCGGTTTTAAGGTATCCTTAAATCTAACCACGAAAATGAAAGTCGAACAAACATTTTTGATTTTTGTAATACTACTTAGGGAAAAGGGTAGTTCCAGTTCTTTACCATAAGGGCAGTTCGGGCCCGTGGCCATGGCCCCCATCATCAGGGCCCCCGAAGGACAGACAATTTCTACGACAGACAACGGTACACGTGTAGCGGGTCGGATTCCCGAACGGAGCAAATCCTTGTGTGCTCCACAGATTGTTGTTCTGGGTGAATATACCCACGATATAGGAGATAATCTTAGTGTGGGGCAAACGTTAAAAAACATTCCGAGAAATAAGAAAAGAGCTTCGAATTAATGTGTGCCCAAGAGTCTCAGCGTAGGCTAAGACGGCCCTGGGTAGTTCATAATATTTTCTTTATGTAACTCAGTGCTGTCAAAACAACCCCCGCGGGCTAATTAAATTTCTTACAAAAACTGGGGGGCCAGAAAAATATTTTCAGTTGTATACTTGTATAATGATGTTTTACATTGTATTCTTTACTCACAGATTAAACTTGTATACAAATATACACAGAATTTTATTATTGTTGTCGCGCATAAGATGAAGATGTTGAGATTAAAATGTGTGTCGCGGGCCATATGAAATAAGCTGCGGGCCAAATCCGGCACGCGGGCCTTAGTTTGGATAGCCCTGATCTAATTGATGAACTAAGTAGATATTACCTTTTTATACCCTGTCATAATACTCACATAATATTTTTTATATTTTTGTAACACATTTTTTAAATAGATTATTTATTAGTAAGGTGTGTGATCTAACACGGATTTAAGCATGAAAATTGTATTTAGTTATAGACTAATTAATAAGTTCTACTAATTCTAATTCATAAAGCAATATTTATTTTAATAGCAGTTAAGTTGTATTTTAGTTAGGTAATTTTTACAGTAACAAAAATATAAATTGAATTCTACTTTTCTACTAATAATTTGAAGTCCGACGCTGGCAACACCGACAAGTCTCGAAGACAGCAAAAAATTAAAAGGGTACCGTCACACAGGTTTTTACTGTAATGTTGCCAGGAATTCGACGTCATTTTCTACCAAATACACTAGTATCGCTAGTTCAAAAAAAGGAAATGTACTAATAATGTTGCTAGTATAATTAGTATGTTTCGAAAAATGTTGCCAGGTATAAAATTTTGGGTAAAGGTTTATGCACTTTTTGTAACACACTGTATATGTATAGAGGGGGCATGAAAAAGTGTTTTGGGTTATTTTTTGTAGTAAAAAAGGTAGAAATATGTAATTTAGTAAGTTTTTTTTTAGTTTTTTAACTCTGAATTTTCTTTTTATAGATTTTTATTTAGGTGAGACTAATATATTTCATCTTATTAGCTATTTTCATAGTTTTAGAGGACTGGTATAAGATATTGTGATTTTAAAGAAAGCTAGAAACATTAATTCAGTTTGCAATGAGCAGTACTTTTAAGTGTTCAGTCTGCCAACTTATTTGGTATGCAGGTAAGAATATAAAGATTGATTCAATACAGAGACAGTAGTTATTGTTATACGCACACAACATCACGCCTTTTATCCCCGAAGGGGTAGACAGAGGTGCATATTACGGCACTTAATGCCACTGTACAATGTAACACCCACTTTTCACTATTTATGTTATGAGTCCCATGTAATAGGGGGTGAGCCTATTGCCATGTACCGGACACGAAACTAGACTACGTGCTACCACTGAGATTAAAAAAAAACCCCAGTAATTCTTTGCCCGCCCCGGGAATCGAAACCGAGACCCCTTGCCCGGCAGTCGCATTTACGGACACTCGACCAACGAGGCAGTCGTCTATTGTTATACTAAAGTCAAAGTCAAAGCATATAATGTCAATTAAACCATAATTTGGTACTTTTAAACCGTCAACAAATACAAAATAAATAATAGTCTGTCAGTCAGTCTATCTTTTTGTAACCATTGGTCGGTTCAGTAGCCAACCAAATGGTCTGTCTCTGTACCGAATCAATCTTCATTTTTATACTTCTTTATAACTTGACTGATTGTAAGTTGTTGTCAGTCATTCAGTCACACGTAAATAAAAAAAAATACTACACGGGCATTTATCAGTGGTCTTAACTGCCTGTCTGAATTAAATAAATAATAATAACTTATATTATACCAGTTCTCTTAAATCATCATATTGTATGGGCTGTGTTCAGGTTTGTTCCAATAATACTTTTAAAAGTTAATTATCATGTATAATTACTATAATTAGTCATACATACCTATATTCACCCCCTATTACATGGGACTCATAACATAAATAGTGATAAGTGGGTGTTACATTGTACAGTTGCATTATGCCGTAATGTGCACCTCTGCCTTCTCCTTCGAGGATAAAAGGCGTGATGTTATGTTAACATACCTATATTATTAAGTTTTGATCGCCTTTAGGTAATTATTTTAATATTATTTACTTTATTATTTTTACCTATGAAAGTAATTTTCGATTAAGCACAAAGGACATTTTGAAATGGCTTCTGCACAAGTATACACTACACTATAATCAACTCTAAACTATCAACATAAGCTATAATTTCCCCTGAACACGTCCTACAAAATCGTACCTAACTGATAGTGTGTTTCTTTCCCTGCTAGTATTACAGTGGCGCAGAGATCTAGGCCCACCACGTGAGTATAGAAATAGCACTTTTGTAGCGCACCGTAGCATTATTGTAGCATTTGGTAGCACTCTGTAACATTTGGGAGCAGTGTAACAGCTCTCTGTAGCATTCGGGAGCAATAATAAGCACTTTGGAGCACCTTGTAGTACTTCGTAGCACTGTTGTAGCAGTTTGTAGCACTATCGTAGCACTCTTTAGTATCTACCTCGTCGCACTATGTAACACTTCGTAGCAATCTGTAGCACTTGGCAGCACTTTGTTCTTCTCTATAAAGATTAATTATTTATTTATTTATCTATGTATCTGAATGATTTTGCATTGATTACAAAAATATAACAATAAAATGGTTCATGTTACTTCTATAAACGTCTTTTTCGCTAAGCTTTGTGTGTGCAGCCAAATCTTGTGTATAGTATTCTGTATTATTTTCTATTAGCAATTACTTTTCTTACTTGCTGAACTTTAATACGGGGTGTAATCGGAACGTCCCCGAATAACGCCGAAATAAAGTGATGGTAAAAAAACAAGTATTATTTTCATAATTGTAAGGAATTACATGTTTCTTTTATGTAAGAGTAGTTTTAATCAACTGCTCAATGCTGATGTTGCACGAATAAAACGAAAACTAAAACTATTAAAACAGTTTCTTTATGTCGGCGTTTCGGGAGTGTTCGTGTTAGGAAGAACTCCCGTAATGCCAGACGGAACGTAACGCCGGATACTTGTATTATCTCGATAATATAACACAAGCGATTCAATTTTTACCAAAAATTTTAGGTATCTGCGAGACTGAGACTCTCACTGAGAGATATCCGCCTAAAAATCGAGTCGCTCGCGTTATTAGTTACTTGCTTTTATCCGCGGCTTCGCTCGCATCACAAAAGAATAAAAAGTAGCCTATATACCAATACACACAGCGCCATCTATACCAATAATTTCGTTTTCCCTCGAAAATATCAATTTTTTCTGGGATATAAAGTACCCTATTATTTAATCCAGACTTCTAACTTTACGTCTGCAAAAATTCAAAGCAATCGGTTTAGTAGTTACGGCGTGAAAGCGGAACAAACAAACAAACAAACTCACTTTCCGTTTTATAATATTAGTAAGGATTGAGATAATACAAGTGTCCGGCGTTAGGTGCCGTCAGGCGTTAAGCGACTTTCCCCTACACCCTGTCTGTATAATTTCTAAATCAATTCTACATTAAATCCCTTTTTCTACTAAGAATCAGAAAGGTCGTTCCACCTGTCTTTCAACTAGCCACCTAGAGATGGGATCCCTTACGTACTAACCAAACATGGTGATTATGACTGAACAGTCCTCAGTATTCTAGCTGATGATGATGATATATTACAATGCATATGAATGCCATGCTTCGGTACGAATGGGCCGGCTCGACCGGAGTGATACCACGGCCTCACAGAAAACCGACGTGAAACAACGCATGCGTTATGTTTCGTCGTGTGAGTGAGGTTACCGGAGGCCCAATTACCCCCCACTCTCTAATCTCCCCAATCCCTGAATTACCAACAACCCTCAAATTCCTACTCCCCAAAAGGGCGGTAACGCACTTGTAACGCCTCCGGTGTTCCAAGTGTCCATGGGCGACGCCGATTGCTTACCATCAGGTGATCCGTCTGCTCGTTTACCAGCTTATCCCATAGAAAAATCACTTTCTGTGCTTTGCCATTTAAATAGGGCTACACTTCAGCTAAATAAACTTGCATTTTCTATAATAAAGTAACATGAACCTTAATGCTATATGACAATATGTTCGTTTTATAAAATTTTATTATCCTTTTAAGACTTTTTCTGATATAAACAAAAGAACAATTTTAATGTGACTTCATATTCATAAAAATGGTTACTTAACTTAATTATTAAGTTTTCGGCTTACTCACGTAACTGTTTGAAGAGGAATTCGACTAGTTTCAAGCCATGCTAGAGATTCATATTCATGAGCAGTATTCCGCGATATGCAACGCGGCGACTGTCGCGCTTGCAACTGACAGTTCTTCGTCAAACTGTGACGTAAGTAAGCCGAAAACATAATAATTAATTGAGTATGTCTCACTAAAGTTTTAATATAAACATGGTTAACATAACCTAACAATTAAACCATGCTAAAGTATCTTAAATAGGGTAGATGCCTTATTTTTATTCTAATGTCCGTCTGGTAGATTATTTTAAATCATTAGACACGTATTTTTTATTTTCTTACAGAAACGAAATTGGAAATGTCGCGTGACGTCACTTCTATGTACATTTTATACGCAGAAATGATGTTTACCTAAACTTTGGTTCATTTTATCTATGTATTGTTTAATTATACGACAAAATAAAAAATACGTGTCTAATATTTTTTCATTACCTAACTTACGGACTAATTAGATTTTTAATTTTCGTACCCTGGCATCATCCCTATTGTAGTATAGTATATATATATATCACACTAGAAAGCAAAACACAAACAAAACAAAACACTATTCTTACAACACCTTAATAAATAAGGCCAGGTTTACAAGATATATGTCTCATTCAGACCCACCTTTTAATTGGGTAGTTTCCAGGGTATCTAAATTAAAAAATCTAATTAGTCCGCCAGTGAGATAAAGACAAAATATTTGACACGTATTTTTTTATTTTCTCGTATTAAGTTGCAATACTTAGATAAAATGGCGCTAAGTTTAGGAGTGGGAGGTCGTTACGTTATAACGTGCTACAAATGTGGCACGCTGTGACGTCACACGATATTTGAAATTAATATATCGTCGAAAGTATTTAATTTTGTGAGAAAAGAAAAAATACGTGTCTAAAGTTTTAAATTAATGTACCAGACGGACATTAACATTAAATTTAGGAAACTACCCTATTAAATGAGACGTAGATAAATGCATGATAATCTAAAATTGATATGTAATCAATTTGTGTATGGATGCTACAGTCTTTTGTATATATACTTGTCATAATGTATGTCACTATAAAACGTTTATTTTTTGTTTTAAAATATTATTATTACTACTCGTATAGACGCCAGTACGACAAGTTACTATATGACAAAATTCTTAAAAAAAAAATATAGAAGTACTAGCTCGTGCCCGCGGCTTCGTACGCGCAATCCAGTTTTCTCCTGTTCCCGTACGATTTGCAGGATTTTTGTTCTGTCATAAGAACCTTCTCCTGATCATAACAAAAGCAAAAAAAAATCAGCCAAATTGGTCTGGCCGTTCCCAAGTAATGGCGTGACAACGGAAAACGGGTTTCATTTTTATATATAGGAGTATAAAGTAGTCAGCTTTTGAATTCTGGAAGAATTAGTCTAGTAGTTTCAGAGCCTATTTAATACTATTTTTGTATCGAAATGCTGCTCATGAATATGAGATCCTAAGCCCCCGAGCGTACGGCGCATAAAGAGCCATCAGACCACAGATGGGGCCCAATAGGCCAAATGCGGATACGGAGCCGCGGACTCCGCGGAGTACTTAATGGGTTCCCGGGGCACTGACTCGAGGTGCAGGATTAGGAACGAGGTGGTTTTTAGCCAGTAAGAGTCTGATAATCCCTCTTACCTCATCCAAGGTGAGAGAAGTCATTGGATGATTTCCAACCCTCCCCCCCAAAGTCCTATGAGCCAATAGCATGGCCAATGACCTCGTTCCACATGGGTAGGTTCGTAATTCATCTGTTCAATGCTAACTAATCTATTTGAAAATTAAAAGTTCGGAAGTTATCAAGTATTTTTTTCTTCTAAATGCATGAAAATGATGAATCTTCGAACTGGTGTAACTTCTTCATCTAGGATACTACAACTTTAAGCCAATATTAACGTTTGCTCTAAATGGCTAGTAAAAATGATACCTACCATTTTTATCGTTGGAAAATGTGTTCAGAAAAAAATATATTCATTCAAAATTACTTTAATGTGCTGGCGTCTATACATTTGCTTTGCGTGTTCGTATGTCCGTATGTATGCTACCCTATATATTGTACAAAATCTAATATATTCTTGAATGGTATGAATTATATTTTTTTATATTTGTTTTTTATTGTAAGTACGATTTTGTACGATTAATGCACGATTTTCATGTAATGAATTAGATTATTTAAAAAATCGAAACAATACCAATGAAATGTTTTTAATTGAATTTATGAAATTCTTGCGTTAATACAATTTTGGAAAATAATGTTCAATTTGAGTTGTTTTACGAAATAGAATATGTCTTAATGGACTGGTTGTCTAAAGAACAGCTGGTCAAAATGCTCAAAATTTCCTTGGATAGATGACCGATCAATGGTTCCCCAGGTCCTCAAGTCTGCTATTTTCATAATAGGGTAGATGACTAATTTTTATTTTAATATCCGTCTGGTAGATTATTGAAAAACATTACACACGTATTTTTTATTTTTTTACGGAAACGAATACTTACGAATATGTATTGATTCGAAATCATCGTGACGTCACTTCTATGTACATTTTATTCGTAGAAATGACGTTTTAGCCCCCACTCCTAAACGTTGATTCGTTATATCTAAGTATCATTTTATCATACAACAAAATAAAAAAATACGTGTCTAATATTTTTTCATTACCTAACTGAAGGACTAATAACATTTTTAATTTTCATACCCTGTCATCATCCCAATTCTTCTTGTACGCGTTGGTATCTATATTATTTCTTTTATTTGCATCATCCCTATTTGCCATTCCAACACAATTGCATTGTCATTTTGCTAAAAGTTCATAAACTGCTAAATTCATAATAGTCAATCATTGATTGGTCAGTGGTCTCATAATAGAATTGTAGTAGAATGACTTTGCCGTATTGTCATTAATATAAAACTTTGTAGTAGAAATAATTTTCGAAAAACTACTACTAAAGAACATTTTATTTTATAAAATATCCATCAGTGTTTTGTGAAATCTGAAGTATCTATCATTACCTTCGAGTTTAGTATCTTTTATTTATTTATTTATTTATTAACACTTCTGTATAATAAACATACGATGGCGGACTTAATGCCGGGTGGCATTCTCTAACAGTCAACCATGGGGTGATGCAGAGATGTGCATTTTATGTTATCATTTCCAATGGTGTGTCAGTGGTTGACCATTGGAAAGTTATAATGACGCCATTACATTAGTAGATTACCAAACTTGTCAAAATTAACAATTTTGAAATCAATGATCGATCATTCTGACACTATTGTAATAGGAGACTTGAGGCCCATTGCCTTTAGCCAAACGCCACTTTAGCGCTTGTCTACAGAGAGAGTAGAAAACTAAATGTATAGGGATGATACTGATAAGTGTCAAAATTTACGTCAATCCCATATAATTTGGTTTTCTAATCTACATGTAGACAAGCGCTAAATGGCATTTGGCTACAGCTGCTGGGCAGGGGCGTGCACAGAGATTTGAAGTAGGGTAGGCAGAAGGCATGGTTAAAAATACATTTGGTCTAGGTACATTAATCTCGGAAAATAAAACTCCCGAAACGTTTTGAGTAGGTAATTAGGTTTAGTAAGTATTTTATTAATTTGTATAAACAAATTAGGTACATAATTATTTTAAAACTATCCGTGTATAAAGTTGATCAACATAGATCTATCGGTATTTATTTTATAAATCTATTAACTAGGTACCTACTTTGGAGCGGCGAAGTATAAATGGCTACACATCAAGCTATGCGACACCAGTATAACTGACCGTTAAATGCATAGAGAAATCGTACAAAGCGAGATCAAGATAGACTGGATGTTAAAAACAATAATTAAATTGGTACACAACCAGTGCTAACAAACTATACCTATAATCGCAAATCGTAGTTTATTAAAAGAAATAATAAAATTATTACCTTTTTTGAGTTACGCCTAGCCCGGACATACATACACACGCAAAATCGCCTTTGGAAATATTTTCGTTTCTTCTTTAAACGACAATAACGACAACGCACTCATATTGAATTTATTGAACAACACAAATCACCAGCACTGAGCTCACAGCTATAATTTTACATAATTTTCGGTAAATTAACAGTTCATTTAATTATAATTCATTACATTACAATTTATTCACTTGCACATAAAAACATAACCAAAACAAAATGGCCAAAAAAAACGTAAACAATAAGGTGACCAAAATTAATATATCTATTTTCCGTCAACAAACGCTACGTTTTGTTGACTTCTTAAATTAGTCGGATAACGAAGAAGCAGTGCTTTTGCAGTTGTATAGAAATTACCAACCTAACAAAAAAAAAATCCAACATCAGCACGAAAAAACAAGCAAATTGTACCGGCTAGCATACATGCTTCCGCCACCATCACACAATAGCGAGATGGCGGCGCCACTGGCGCAATGCTCCAATATCGAAGAAAGTAGAAAGTGGTTGTAGTACTTCAATATTTTTTCAATAGATGGCGTTAGTTACCAGTTTTCCGAATTAAGTATCAATAAAATTACGAAATCTCTGTATGATGTCAGTAAATATTCATGTCGTGTATATGAGTGACACTATGTAATTGACTATGTAGGTTTACCATGATTTTGTAGGGTATGCACTGCTTATTTGCATGTATGGTGTGCACGCCACTGCTGCTGGGCCTTTAGCCAAACGCCACTTTGGCGCTTGTCTAGTAGAAATCAAAATGTATAGGGATGACACTGACTAGTGTCAAAATATACGTCGACTAGCTTTTACCCGCGGCTTCGCTCGCGTTATAAAAGGATAAAAAGTAGTCTATGTGATATATACCGATACACACAGCGCCATCTATACCAATACTTTGGTTTTCCCTCGGGAATATCAAATTTTTCCGGGTTAAAAAGTACCCTATTATTTAATCCGGACTTCTAACTTTACGTCTGCAAAAATTCAAAGCAATCGGTTTAGTAGTTACGGCGTGAAAGTGGAACAAACAAACAAACTCACTTTCCGATTTATAATATTATAGTAAGGATAAGCTAACTCAATTTTAAGAGGAAGACGTGTAGACAGCAACCAATGATGATCTAATTTTGACTTTTAAACAATGCCTTATTACTTTAACTCGTCGAGTACCGGTTTTATAGACACAATTAAAGAACAATAGGTCGCGGTCACCGGTGACCGCTTGGTGTTTGACAGTTTAATTGAATCTTTGATTTCGCTTTAATTACTACTCAAATTGAACAATACGTTTCCTATTACATTCTACAGAATTAATAATTAATAATAATTAACAAAATAATGTTCTAACTAACTGTGTGGTTAAGGGTGCGACGGAAGGCGTCGCCGGCGCAGACTAAAGCAGGAACCCTTTCTATGTCGAGGTAATTTATTATAGAAAATATACGCCATTTGCAGATCAATAGTAAATGAAAAATGTATCTTAATGTGCTGAGAATAGAGGTTGTTGTTTAATGTGAGACAAATTTACTAAGGAACATATAAAATGTTGGATTTTTTTAAACTAGTGGCGCTAGTGTAGCTTTCAGGGTCTTTTGACCAACAGAATATTTTTGCTAATGTCAAGGCATTATGACTATGACTGCCTCGTTGGCCGAGTGGTCGCAAGTGCGACCGCCGAGCAAGGGGTTTCGGGTTTGATTCCCGGGTCGGGTAAAGTATTACTGGGTTTTTAGTAGTAGCACACAGTCTGGAATTGTGCCCGGTATATGGCAATAGGCTCACCCCCTATTACATGGGACTCATAACATAAATAGTGAAAAGTAGGTGTTACATTGTACAGTGGCATTAAGTGCTGTAATGTACACCTCTGTCGCGGAGAACCTAACGGGTTGCCGGGGCTCCGGCTCGAAGCGTAGGAGAAGGAACGGGGTGGTTTTTAGTCAGTAAGAGTCTGGCACTCCCTCCCGCCTCACCCAGGCGCAATCATTCGAAGATTTTCCTCCTTTAAAAAAAATGTACACCTCTGCCTACCCCTTCGGGGATAAAAGGAGTATCATGTTTCGATAGATAACAATTTGTTTCGCATTAAATACAATTAAAATATGGAATTGTGTTTAAATAAAGTTACTATTGATCTGCAGTTGGCTGGGTGTCGGAATTTGTTCCTATTTTTGTATGTGAAGGTTGTTTGTGGTTGAATTTGTGAGTATACATGTACATATATACAAGTAGTTAAAAAGTTTTTGAATTAATTTTTTATCGTGAATAGCGTAGATGCCTAATTTTTATTTTAATGTCCGTCTAGTAAATTATTTTAAATCATTAGACACGTATTTTTTATTTTCTTACAAAAACGAATACTTTCGACGATATATTGATTTGAAATGTCGCGTGACGTCACTTCTATGTACACTTTTTACGTAGAAATAACGTTTTAGCCCCCACTCCTAAACTTTGATTCGTTTTATCTAAGTATTGTTTTATTATACGATAAAATAAAAAAATACGTGTCTAATATTTTTTCATTACCTAACTTACGGACTAATTAGATTTTTAATTTTCATACCCTGTCATCATCCCAATTCTTCTTGTACGCCTTGGTATATATTATTTCTTCTATTTAATTTCCTTATGTGTATTTTAAGATGTCTATATTGCAAAAAACTCCTAACTTCTAGCTAGTCAGCTGGAAACGGGATGTTTTGGGTGTTGCTACATACAGGTCGTTTCGCAGGACTGTGTTAAAGTATTAAAATAATGTTGTAGTGTTATAGTATTAAGTGATGAAGATGTAACCACAAATAATCTTCATGTTAAACCACCATATTGATTTTATTGTTTCGTTGCCTCCACAAGAGCCTTTTTGTATAAAGCGTCTTGCTTTAGAATTATGATTTATTATTATTAACTAAAATCGAGGGTTACTCACGTGAATATACCGAGAAAAGCTCTACTAGTTATGTGAGTTGCGTGACGTCGTACGATCGCGCACGCTGCTCATGAGGAAGAACCCCTCTGTGGTTCGAAACTAGTAGAGCTTTTCTCAGTATATTCACGTGAGTAACCCGCAATTTTAGTTGATTTAGTATGTCTCACGATAGTTATTATAAAAACATAATTTTTTTTATTATAATGAGTTTATGTTGACGGATATTTTCCAAGTTTGAATTTTGTAAGTATATTTTTTTATATATATTTGATGGGCCGTTTGACCACTATCTCGCCTGGTAATAAGCGATGAACGATATAGCAGTAACTATGTTTTTATATGTATACGAACGGACCCGACAGGCGTTGTCCTGCATATCCACTTGAATGTATAAACAAAAATTCATTCAAATTAGTTCAGTCGTTTATAATAACTAGGCACCAACTGCAGCGCCATCTGCCGGGCTGATTTGTGAATCTAAACCATTCACGGCGCCACACAAATGCGTACAGAAAATTCATTTAAATCGGTCAAGCCGTTTAGGACGAATTCAATGACATACAAACGTACAGCAGAATTATATATATAAAGATATATAATATATGCAAAAACATCGTTACTGCTACAGATGCCATTTATTCATGAACTATTCCTTAATTAAGGGTAAAAGTAGATACAAATTCAGGATTAAATCAAACTAACTTTTTTATTAATCCACTTGGAATTTTCTGACATACCCTCTTATGTAGAGGAGATACGTAGTCCAGCATTGGACTGACACGGAATCTTGATTTATGTTTGATAGCGAATTGTATCCGTCAATATATTAATACATACGTCTCTCGTTACACAAATTCTACATATTTTTTTATAAGCTGCGATTTTTACATTATATTGTTTTTAAGTTTTCCTTAAATAATAACAGCATGTTAGTTTTTTATTAATAATAAATACTAATTTTATCTTAACTGATTAATTTTATATTAATATTCGATTAATTTTCTTTTTTGTTGTAGTAGAGTTTGTGTTGCATTTAGTTTTAATTTGTTTTTTTTACATATACAATATACAGGGTGTTTTTATTTCCTTGTTAAAAATAAACACTCCTTGTAGTTAATGTGTAACGGTTTTTGAAAATAGTACATTAGTTTGTATTTTAAATACAGAATTTTTATATACTTTTTCTTTGTTCTAATTTCAAATGTACAAGTTTAATTGAAGAAATCAGTTACTCATTTTTTATTTTTAAATGTAATTAAATGAATGTTTTAATATTAAGTTCACGGCTTATTTCATGCTGCACATATTATTTGGTTTCTGTGTTTTATATATTTATAAGCGCCATGATATTTTTTATGACTAAACCCTGAATACTGAAAGGCCACTCAATAGGGTAGATGACTAATTTTTATTTTAATGTCCGTCTGGTAGATTATTTAAAAACAATACACACGTATTTTTTATTTACTTACGCAAACGAATATTTTCGAAGATATATTGATATCTCATAACGTCACTTTTGAGTACGATTTATACTCTAAAATGACGTAGCTACTTCCCACTCTTAAACTTTGATTCGTTTTATCTAAGTATTGTTTTCTTATACGACAAAATAAAAAAAATACGTGTCTAATATTTTTTCATTACCCAACTGACGGAGTAATTAGATTTAATTTTCATACCCTGTTGTATTTTCATCCTTATTTTAAGTTGTACTTATGTATCGTGCCGTCTCTGTCATTTTACAAAGAAATAGCAGTGACAGAACTATACTTAGCCTTAGCCTTTCAGTATTCGGGCGTAAAAGTATGTGAATTAGATATAATTCTGTATTTTCTGTTCTAAATCGACTTTTTATAAACTAAATGCTGTTTTTAAGTTATTTTTTTATTAAATAAAAGTTTTGACTAATCGCCAGTGTGATTGTCGAGCAAGAAGTATGCAGTTTAATGCCGGGTAAATTATGCCAATTTGTATTTGGAACTTCTTATTTATCTGTGCCCCGAGTACATTGTACTTAAGCACGGGCCTGCGGACGGCGAGCACGGGTAACTAGCTCGTCACTGGACCTGGGTGCTTACTTTTGAAACCAATCGCATTATCAATGCAATTTCAATCCAATAAAATCTTAATAATTATTCAATGTCAAAACTATACAACCCCTATCATAGCTGTTGAAATAGCATTCAGAGTACGGAATATAAAGCCAAACTCAATACCATTTAGTTCATTCAATATCCACGCAATACGAATGTAATGGGCGCTAGTGTTGCAACTCAAGAGTACGAAATTTTACAATACAAATGTCGATCGATCGGAATTGAATTCAAGAGTAAGCCCCCAGAACCAGACCCGAGCGAAAGGCGCGTCGCGATCCGCGCGCGCCTCAAAGACCCATTAGACCAACACGGATGGGGGGGGCCAATAGGGCTGATGCCGATATACGTAGCAGCAGGGTACTTAACAAGTTACTGGGGCTCCGGCTCGAAGTGCAGGAGTAGGAACGGGGTGGTTTTTAGTCAGTAAGAGTCTGACACTCCCTCTCGCCTCATCCAGGCGGGAGCAGACATTCGATGATTGTCCCCCCTTAAAAAAAGAGTACATTGTACTTAATAAGCTCTCCTTCTATTACATTCTATTTTATAAGTGGTGGAATAGTCGAGTTTAAGAATAGCTTGAAAGTAGGCTGAAATATTTTGTCAGTCGATTTTGATTCTTATACCACACAGCATTAAGTTTAAAATCAGTCGGCTATTTATGTTCTGTAACTGTTTGCGTAGATGGTGATGTATTGACGTGTCTTGGATATTGTAAATTAACCCTTATTGCTAAGAAAATAAGTTTTAATTTTCCAAGACAAGTCTTATGTAAAAGCCCATGTATGTATTAATTTTCAGCTTATGTATGTAATACTCAAATATATACGATAAGAACTGTCTGCTTATTGATCTGTCTCGCTTACGATTTGAGCTCGAACAAAATGGCGGTGTTTTTGACATTTGTATCTAAAAATAGTCTTTTGTATTAAAGAATAGTATTTGAAATTGCTTGATACATATATATACACCATGGAAGTAATTGTGAAGATTCTATATCTTTTACTAGTTGACCCGGCAAACATCGTACGGGTTAAAAAAAAAATCTCGCTTCTTGAACCTTCTCTGGACTTCCACGAACATTTCAAGACCAAAATTAGCCAAATCGGTTCAGCCGTTCTCGAGTTTTAGCGAGACTAACGAACGGACATTCATTTTTATCTATATAGATAGATGAATATTAGTTTTTCCGGAGATATTTGTATAACAGATACTCCAGTGAGACAGAATAAAGTAATTTGTGTTTAATGAGTAATGACTTACTTGCTTAAAGTAACTCGACTAGTTTCCCGCCACGCTAGGAGCTCATATTCATGAGCAATATTGCACGACATACGATGCAGTGACTGCCGCGTAACGAACATGACCCCAAGTGAACCCTTGTAGAACCTGATTAAAAAAGAGTAACCTATGGAGTTTCTTGCTCGTTCTTCTCCATAGGAATCTACACTTTGGAACGAGCAAATAGAGCAACTATAGGACTGACCGACAGACTGATATTTGTTTTTTAATATTTCAATATTTTGTTTTGACGTTCAAAAGTGCCTTCCTGGTCTAATTGAAATAAACGATTTGACGCTGACTTTGACTTTGACAAGCGTGGCTTGAAACTAATCACCTCGCTGAACAGGAGTAATCCTGGACATAAATAGTTCCGGAGAACAGCGCGTTTCATTAAACAAACAAACAAACGCCTTAACTTTATATTAGTTTATATTAGTAAAGATTTTTTATTTTACCATTCATTACCGTCACACTTCCTTCCAAAGCAATCTCCCTTTCTATTCGCCCAGCAATGTATACGATACAAATGTCATTCGGCCATCTTGTTTCGGCTTCGCTTTGTACATCGCGTGCTAACGCCGAGCTGAAACGAACAAGGATTTGTGAGAGGGACGCCCACATGTAATGATGATTCTTAGGTTATTTTGTTTGTAGTGGACGTTTTTTGACTTTGTGGTACGGATTTTGAGTGTATATTAAAAGAAAAGGCTCAATAAATAGGCTCACCCCCTATTACACAAAAGGCTCACCCCCTATTACATGGGACTCATAACATAAATAGTAAAAAGTGGGTGTTACATTGTACAGTAGCATAATGTGCACCTCTGCCTACCCCTTCGGGGATAAAAGGCGTCATGTTATGTTATGTTATTAAGAGAAAAAAAGAAAAAAATATTTTCTTCGCCTCAGTATTAGGCATGACATGTCAATATGTCAAAACCCTACCACAGCTTAAAAAACAGTCACAACAACTTGAAAACCAAATTCAAAATCCCCAAATCTCCAAACCTCAGTACGAAGATGGCCAAGTCCATTCGCAAATCCGGTGAGTTCAGCTCGGTTCCCGCCCGGCTTGAGTCTGTACGGTATGCGAACGGTTCCAGCTCGAGGACCAGCCTCGCTAGCAGCCGACAGAGTCTGACCTCATACGCGTCTCCTACGACCGAGAGGGCTGCCTCGCCGGAGCAGAAGAGGGCTTCTTTTGTTGAGGTACGTGACTTGACAGTTATTGAGGACTAGCTTCTGCCCGCGACTTCGTACGCATAATCCCATTTTTTTCCGTCCCCGTTCGTGATTTTCGGTAAAAAGTAAAAAAAAAAAGAATTGGGTAAAAAGTATCCTATGTCTACTGGTTCTAAGCTACCTCCCCACCAATTTTCATCCAAATCGATTTAGCCATTCTTGAGTTATAAATAGTGTAACTAACACGACTTTGTTTTATATATATAGATTACTTTCTTGACGTTGACGGATGACGTTATTGAGGATTCTATATGCGGAGTGGTAGCTAGTGCTACTGCCGCGCAAGGGATTTCGAGTTCGGTACCTGGATAGGGCAAAGTATTATTGGGTTTTTAATAAAATCTCAGTTGCAGCACGGAGTCTGGGATTGTGCCCGGTATATGGCAATAAGGTCACTCGCTATTACAAGGGACGCATAGCATAAATAGTGAAAAGTGGGTGTTACATTGTACAGTGGCATTAAGTGCCGTAGGCAATGTGTACCTCTGCTTACCCCTTCGTGGGTAAAAGGCGTGATGTTATGTTATGTTAGTATTCCTTTACTGTCATATACACGCCGATCTATAACCTTAACAGTGAACAACAATTCAAACAAATGACTATTCATACGACCTTATTTACGGGATTCGAACCTGAAACATTTTACTTACCGAACTGTCCCTAGTTTAAGGATAGTAATAAAAGCACCGACAAGAAAAGAAGAATTGTCCTTACTGAAAATATTAAATCTACTGCCTAAAATAATAACTTCCCGACTACTTTACATGACTGTTTATTGCTACAATACTAACCTAACCTAACCTAAAACGTCTGTTGTCGGTCACTTAGTAATTTTGTCGGAGGGTCAATATTCTATTCAGAAGTTTAATTTTGTTATTCGAAGATCCATTTTTATAGGCGGCCATAGATCGCTGGAGATATATTTGTTTTTCGGAACCATTATTATTTTCCCTGGTTTAATATTCACGTGAAAGAAGTATACAGTCGAAGGTCCACCAAGTACACAATTATTATAGAAATGTCTTGTGATTCCAGACTGGTTTCGTGGAGACCCTGACTCCTCAGTACACCCCTGGCCAGAGCATCACCTCTCCTCAGCCAGCGTCCTCCAGCATGGAGGATAAGATCGCCAACATGCAGGCGCAGCAAGAGGTCAGTATAATGTTTAGATTGGAAAGAACTTTAGGGAGTTATCACCATCATGACCATTTTAAGTGTGGGAGAAGCTTGCTTCGGCGCGAATGGACCAGCTCGACCGGAGTGATACCACGGCCGAGCAGAAATTCGACGTGAAACAACGCTTGTGTTGTGTTTCCCAATTACCCCTTCCCCAATCTTCCGAATCCCTGAATACCCAACAATCGTCAAATTCCTAATCCCCAAAAGGTCGGTAACGCACTTGTAGTGCGTCTGGTGTTCCAGGTGTCCATGGGCGACGCCGATTGTTTACCATCAAGTGATTCGTCTGCTCGTTTACCGGTTTATTCCATAAAAGGAACATCATATCAGCCACAATGTCCACTGACTCACATAGTCCTCTTTCAATGGCCAGTTGGAAGTGTTGGAGTAGACTACCATGGATGTTAAAGAAAAACGACTTCTTGTGACTTTATACAGATCGTATATCCTTTTAGTGTAAAAAAATGTTAGGTTTCATAATAATTTGAAGAGAGATGTTCTTTCGATTAGGCTAGGCAGTAGGCTTTTTTTAAGGGGGGAAAAATTATCTAATGACTTCTCCCGCCTGGGTGAGGTGGGAGGGAGTGTCAGACTCTTACTGACAAAAAACAACCCCGTTCCTACTCCTGCACTTCGAGCCAGAGCCCCAGTAACTAGTTAAGTGCTTTGTGGCTTCGTATCGGCATCAGCCCTATTGGGCCCCATCTGCGGTGGTCTGATGGCTCATAGGCCCTGGCCACAGCTTCTAGCGGTGCGGCGCGCGGTGCGACGGGAGGCGCGGCGGGCGACGCGATTTGCGTTGGTATGCCACAGCTCGACTAGTTGCGACCGCGGCGGCGTCAGCGGTGGATGTACTCAGTATTATTTATAATGGCCCTATCAAAAGTGGCACGATATTGTCTTGAGACTAATGCGTTTTTAGCTCAAGATATCATTAACTCTAAAATTGGAACGCACCCAGTTAATGAAAAAATAAAAAACCTTGGCGAATTTCACACGCTTTATCACGAATATAGGAACTATCCAAACTATCTAATCTAACTATCAATATCTCACTAATAAGTTTTTCGGTATCCATTTGATGTGGAGCGAAATTTTCAAAACGATTTGTTCTGTTCGCGCGAACACAAATTCGTCCCCTCGCTGCCGCTGCATACGCCGCTCTGGCTGTGGCCGCCTCTATACTCCCCAGTGCATTTGTTTCACTCGCACACCGCGCCGCCCGTCGCCGCCGCATGTCGCGCGACGCTTTTCGCGCCGCAAGTCGCTCCGCAATTCGCGTCGCCGTTAGCTGTGGCATACTTCATACGTTGTCTACCATTTGTTTTCCCCGCTCACCGCTTGTCGCGCCGCAATTCGCGCCGCAATTCGCGTCGCGCTTGGCTGTGGCCAGGGGGTTAGAGGCGCGCGGAATGCGACACGCTTGAGTCTGGTTCTGGTCCGGCGATCTACCCATGCCGTCCGCAGGCCCGTGCTTACGGTGGCTGGAGATAGGCAGTAGGCTAGGTGAGCATGTTGTGTGAGCTAACGTGTGGAGCGTGTTTTACTTACCATTTTCCTTTTTGTTGTATTATATCTGAAGCCGAATTAAGGGTACGTACGACAAATAACTGCCACCAAAAAACATGTTATCTCTTTTTTGACCTGATTGTAGAACGGTTTCTCACAAATAAAGCGTTTGGATGACAAGTAACTTTGGTCTTCCAGATAACAACTCTAAAATCAGAAGTAGAAGACTTGAAAGAGAAGCTAGAGACGATAAAAGTCCGTCGCGCAGAAGATAGAGAGAAGCTCAGAGAGTTGGAGAGACTCCGCCTTCAGTTGGACCAGGCCAATGAGTTCAAGGCCAAGATTATGGAGTCCCAGGCTCAGCTGCAGAGGGATCTGCAGAGGGCTAAGCAGGAGGTATGGTCATTTTGTTTATTAATTAAAGATATTACATTATCGAAATAAAAATTCTGGAATCGAATTTGCGACAATTTGTATTGTAGCCGGTTTTGTACAATATATTAAAGACTGTCTCGTTGGTGACTGAGACGACTGCCGAGCAAGGGTTGTCGGGTTGGATTCACGGGTCAGGCTAAGTAAGAACAAATTGAAGAACAAAAAATAATTAGTCCGTCAGTTAGATAATGAAAAAAAAATTAGACAAGTATTTTTTTATTTTCTCGTTATAAAGTTACAATACTTAGATAAAATGGCGTTAAGTTTAGGAGTGGGAGGTCGTTACGTCACAGCGTGTAACATTTTGTAGCACGCTGTGACGTCCCACGATATTTCAAATTAATATATCGTCGAAAGTATTTACTTTAAGAAAAAATATGTTTCTAATGTTTCAAAATAATCTACCAGACGGACATTGAAATGCAATTTAGGAAACTACCCTATTCAATCAACAAAACATACCCAAAGTCTTCCCCCCTTTTCAACCCCCCCTTTTCAACCCCCTCCTTTCAATCCACAGGTCCGCGAAGCCCAAGAAGCTTTAGAGACTCACAACGATGAGACAGCAGAACTCCAGGAGGCAGCAGAAATGGCAGCTCTTGACAAGGAGATGGCGGAAGAAAGAGCCGAAGCTCTCCAGATGGAGCTGGAGCAGTGCCGGGAGAAGCTGGAGGAAGCTACCCTGGATCTGCAGCTTATGAAGGCAGAGATGGAGGCTGGGGGGAATATACGTGAGTTTGACATATTTTTGACAATGATTAGTTCCTTTTTTGTGGCGCTGGTGTCGGGTTAAGGGTTTAAAAAAATGTGGGATAAAGCTAAATTTCTTGCTTATATAATTATTAAAGGGATATTTGCTTTAACCTCTCGCGTTTTTCTCGTATGTACGAGCACGGGTGTACGAGAGAGTTGAGTGCCCATCGCGCAATTGTACACACGGGTGTAAGAGAAACGCGCACCGATTGGATATTTTTTCTGTGACGTATATTTTCAAGTTTGCAACCCGTTCTTTACTTGATTGAACAGAATAGATAATTCGCTTTTCTATTAAAATATTTACCCGTGTGTACGAGAAGCGCGCGAGAGGTTAATAGTTGATTTTTTCAAGTTTTTTGTATGATTAACAATATTAATTGAAAAAAAATTGAGCAGAAACAAATTATGGACTCCTGTGCCTTTAACCAAACGCCACTTTAGCGCTTGTCTACAGAGAGAGTAAAAATCAAAATGTATGGGGATGACCGTCAAGTGTCAAAATTTAGGTCAATTCCATATAATTTGTTTTTCTATTCTACATGTAGACAAGCGCTAAATGGCATTTGGCTACAGCTGCTGATTTGACACGAATAAAGTTGAGTAATTGAGTTACTCTGTCGAATAGTTTTTAGATTAAACCCCACAATCTATTTATTATAATACTAGCTGACCCGGCAAACGTTGTTTTGCCATATAAATAATTTCGTAGAAGGGTGAAAATTGAGGATTGTATGTATTTTTGTATGCTGTATCATAAAAAAATATAAATTAAAAATTTTGTCTGAAAAATAAAACAAAAATTTAACTTTACTACCCCTAAAATTTAGAGGGATGAAAAATAGATATTGGCCGATTCTCATAGATACCGGATAAGCACAAATTTTTTTTATCAAAATCGGTCAAGCCGTTTCAGGAGGAGTATGGCAACGAAAACTGTGACACGAGAATTTTATATATTAGATTTTGTTTAGTTAGAATACTATAGAAATATCATTCAAATGATTACAAATAGTCAAGTCCTGACAACATTACCTCAATTTAACTTATTTCGTTGTTAATCGTACAAATTAAATCAACTATCATTTGTTTAAATACTTAAACGGCACTCATATAGTTCTGTCTCTACAAATTCTTTGTAAACTGATAGAGATAGCACTATATTTAAGTACACACGGCCACCCATCAATCTGTACAAAACCAGTTTATCCTGGTGCCGCGTCGCATCATCTTTCCGCACATTTAACGTTCAGTTTATATTGGTTATATAAAGCTCGATGTGTAGCCGTGTGTACAAATTAAAATGTATTCAGTATATACATGTATAGTATTCAGGCGATTATTATGTATGTACTTTGATACCTTTTTTAAATAGTTTAAATATATATTTCAGATTTACCTATAGGTAATATAAAACTTACGAATACAGCTTATTATAATTTAAATTTTAAACGATTAAGAACTATATTTTTTTGGGTAATATGAACAATAACTGGTTGATACGTTTTATTACACATGGTAGCGTTTATAGCTAGTCAAAACAGAAAAATAATTTATCCATCCGCAATCTGTATATTTGCTAAGTATAGAAATAATTTTGATGAAAGCTCTATATAAAATATTATTATGTTAGCGGTTGGAGGCTAGATGGAAGTCACTCCGTGTACAATACAGAATTGGGTTATAATTATTATTTACATATATTTATTTAAAATACTCTACAAATTATATTTTTAAATACTACTTATAAAATAAAAAGTAATGTTTTAAAATAAATAAAATAGGAGCCGACCAGTAGCGGGAGCATGGTCCATGGTGGTTATTATTATTATTATTTATTTATTTATCTTTAAATCAAACAGGTAAATGTTATAATCTACGCCCCACAAAAACGTTGCAATGGTTTGACTGTGTGGTCGAGTTACTAGATACTTATATATATTATACCGGAAACTTATATAGAATTTAAGACATTTCTAGGTAATAATATACACGACTTTAATTTACGTTTAAACCTATATGAATTTGTTAATTGGTTAATTCAGTGCGTTTGATATATTTAATTTTGACAACGGATTTCTACGTGGATTGCTCGAGTCAATAAATAACGTAGTACTTATGCCATTATACAAATATAATTAATATATAGTTCTGTATTTAGTCGTTATGTGTATCACCCAGTCATTGTTCGTATTAGCCGGTGAATGCAAAGACCTAACATTTCTTGAGATCAGAGCAGGCACACACGTCTCTGGGAATATTTATTTATTGATTTAATAAGTCACTTTTAGTTTTTTTTTACATTATAATGGAACTGATGTTATTAAAATACTAGCTAATCTGCGTAGAATATGAATTTTAGAACAACGGTTTTTGTTTCAATTTTCCAAAAATAAAAGTAGCCTATGCTAGTCCTTAGCACATCAGCTACCTACGAAAAAAAGTCTTGTAAAATCGGTCCAGCCATTCCAGAGATTAGCCAGTACAAACAGACAGACAGACAGACAAAAATTGTAAAAAATGTTATTTTGTTACGTGTATCGTATGTATATTAAAAAGCGGTTATTTTAATATTACAGACAGACACTTCTATTTTATTTGTCTGTATAGATGAATAGGACTGAACTTGGCGGGCGCCACTGCCGTGCCCCCAGATTATTTAATAACGTTATGTTTAAAAAAGTTTTCTTAGCCGGCGAGTTCTTACAGAGGACGAGAACGCGACTTATTTGAAAGAAATCTTCTAATTTCTCGTAAATATTCAATATCAAATGACTATTGGGATGGAATATAGGCTATGTTACTCTCTAATAAGTACGCTTTCCAACGAGAAAAGAATGTTTTTTTTTATGGCATAGGCCGGTAAACGAGCAGACGGATCACCTGGTGGTAAGCAATCGGTGTCGCCCATCAACACCTGCAACTCCAGAGGAGTTACAAGTGCGTTACCGGCCTTTTAAGGATTAGGAATTTGACGATTGTTGGGGATTAAGGCAATTGGGGAAGGGGGTAATTGGGCCTCCGGTAACCTCAATCACAAGATGAAACTCAATGCAAGTGGTATTTCACGTCAGTTTTCTGCTCGGCCGTGGTATCACTCCGGTCGAGCCGGCCTATTCGTGCTGAAGCATGGCTCTCCCACCTAAATTAGTCGTAATAATATTTTTTTAATTCTTTCTTTAAAATCTAATTGATAAATTAAAAGTGACTTTTATATATTGCTCATATATTATATGTTTATATCTATTTATTTTTTTCCTCGCTTTATTCTTATTCTTTTCCTCTATATTTATTTATAGAATTACATACACGGCTTATGCGTGTACGTATATTTATTTATTATTTCATATTTAGGAATACATTTTTATTTATCAATATTATGATTTTATGAGTTTGTTTTGTTTTTATTGCATTCGAAATCATATTTTATATTAATTTTTCATTTAGTTTCATTTCTTTTTTTGTGTTTAAGGCATGAACTTGGCACATTCACTGCTTCTTGATATCTATGGGGCTATTATTGGAAATAACCGGGTAAAACCACCATATATATACACCTTGAAAATATTAATTGGCATATATTTATTATTGCATTTATTTATACTGACGGGAAATACAGTCATCACAGTGTATTCGGGACTGAATAGTCTCGAAAAATCTAAGTCTTTATCCACTTAAAATCGAACCTATAAAGTATAGTGTTCAGTTATCTAGCGGGCATTAAAAAAAGGCTGAATCTATCTTAACTAGATTTAGTCCCAAAGTCACTGATATCGAAAAATATATAATAATATAATTGAATCACTGATAATAAATCGAACTTGTAACATTTTGTTCTGCTGTCTGTGGTCCGCTAGAATAGCGGGCAATATAACAACTATATATTATATAATATTATATTTTTCCTTCCTTAACAAACTTTTCTCTACAATCTACGAATTCTAATTATGTATACTGGTTGCTATACAAAAAAAAAATATAAAAAAAAAAATAACTTGGTTCTGCACTGCCATGCACCCTTCATTGAATGTTAAATTGTGAATGTGTTAAGTCTTTGTATCGTTATTGTTAACGTTTGCATGTTATTTTTTTGATTTTTGTTTGTTTTTTTTTGTGTATGTGTTTTTGTAATACCTCGATGACGAATTGACTTTGACCCTAATTTCCCCCCTTTTTAATAAAGATAAGAATTTTTGAGTCGTACGCTTCTATAATGGAAAAAAACGTCCGACATGCTCCTCTGTTAGACATGAAGGTCCTCTCATTGCTTTTTCCAAATTGGCTTCCGTGATATTATATGAAACCATTCAGCTACCTTTCAGTTCCAGTATGTTTTTCTATTTTAGGATTCATTTCAGTATCCATGTCTTAATATTTCCTGATAAGACTAAATGCTCTTTTTTGTTTTATTTTATTTTTATTTTTATTTATTCAGGAAACAGACAGTCTCTTACAAATAAAATTATTAAAATACAATGTGATACATACAGACCTAGAGTTCCATAAAACAATAATATACGAAAAGGCACTGTTTTTAAAGGTGTCAAATCAGTAGTATACATAAAAAAAAAGAAAAGAATTACAGAGATAAAGTTTTTAAAATGATAAACGAAATTACATTCCTATAAAGTGACCGTGATATTTCTGCTTAATTTTAGATTTATACACATTGGTACTGGTATTAAATATGTCTAATTCATTAAATATGTCTAATGTTTAATTCAATTTTTGTTTTGGAAAGGTTTACAATTTTCCACACTGACTCCCCCAAGAGTCCTATTAATCATAAGTATAACCCTTTTTCCAGAAAAAAGAAATTTTTACATGTAATTCTTCTAAGTCCTCACGTTGTATAGGGGTAATTTTTAAATACTGCGACTCAAGTAATTTGCATATTTATTGGAATAAAGATATACATAACTACATAATAACTCCCCCCTTAGTCACAATGTCCCCCAAACTCCCCCGCTAGACACGGACAGACAGACAGAGGTATATAAATATAACAGTAGTTAGTAACGGCGTGTGTGCGTGGCGCTCTGACAGAGCACCCGTATGCAGAAGGGGGCGCCACTGGGTACGAGATGAGGCAGCTGCAGCAACAGAATGTCAGACTCAGAGACACCCTCGTCAGACTCAGAGACCTGTCCGCTCACGATAAACATGAGATGCAGAAGATGCATAAGGTTAGATAGCTTTAAGTGTTTTTGTCATGATTTTTTTTATACATATTTGTATGGTCGACATTTGACCTGGTGGTAAGCGATGATGCGGTCTACGATGGAGCATGTTTGTCCATAAGCCACCTGTTCACTCGGGCCTTGAAGACACCCAGGTTATATACACAATACACCCTTCAGGAAATACAGACTCTGGCAAAGAATTCCACGTTTTCCAATTCTGGTTCAATTCCAATTCCAGACACCGTGCTACTACTGGAAATAAAAAAAACCCGTAAATCTTTGCCCGACTTCGGATTCGAACCCGAGACCCCTTACCTAGTAGTCGCACTTTCGACCACTCGGACAACGAGGCAGTTTGTCATAAAGTAATTTTAAAATCCGTCCAGAGCCATAACAAAAGGATTATTCGTTCATTTTGACTGCTGCGGTGGCTGGGCAACCGGCTGCCGTGCAACGTGTCGCGGGTTCGATTCCCGCACGGAACAACACTTTGTGTGATCCACAAATTGTTGTTTCGGGTCTGGGTGTCATGTGTATGTGAACTTGTATGTTTGTAAACGCACCCACGACACAGGAGAAAATCGTGATGCGGGGCAAGGTTTTGTTTTTAAAAAAAAATTGACTATAATTACAATACAAAAGCTGTTCAAATGTTTATTATTTTTCTAAAACCCACGGTAACATCCATACATTTCCAGGATTTAGAACAATACAAATCGGAGATAGCAGAACTGAGCAGGACTAAGGAGAAGCTCTCCCTCCGAGTTGACGAGCTGGAAGCTCAGGTAGCTGACCTTCGGGAGCAGGTGGATGCTGCGCTGGGGGCTGAGGAGATGGTGGAACAGCTGGCTGAGAAGAAAATGGCTTTAGAGGACCAGGTCAGTGGTCATCTTAGGTGTACCAAAAGGTTCAGTGATTTATGGAATGGTGTAGAATTTTGTTCGTGGTGACCCGGAGGTCTAAGACTCATGCATGGAGGTGTTTGGAACCTACCAACGGCAAGTACCAATGTGACTTTTTCCGAGTTATATGTACTTTCTATGATTATCTAGACACCACAGACAAACGGTGAAGGAAAACATCGCGAGGAAACCTGGGCTTATAATTTCTAGTTATAAGTTTGTAATTGCCAACTCGCATTAAGCAAGCGTGGTGATTAATGCTCAAACATTCTCCTTGTGAAAAGCCTTTAATGTAGGCAGTGGTGCACATTACGGCACTTAATGCCACTGTACAATGTAACACCTACTTTTCACTAGCCTATTACCATATACAGGGCACATTTCTAGACTCCATGCTACTACTGAGATTTTTTTTAAAAACCCAGTTACATTTTGCCTGACCCGGGAATAGAACCCGAGACCCCTTGCCCAGCACATGCACTTGCGACCACTCGGTCTTCGAGGTAGATTAATTTTTGCTTGTTGGTGTTGCCAACACATACAACATTATGAACACAAACTTAACATCACGCCTTTTATCCCCGAAGGGGTAGGCAGAGGTGCACATTATACCACTGTACAATGTAACACCCACTTTTCACTATTTGTTATGAGTCCCATGTAATAGTGGGTGAGCCTATTGCCATATAACGGGCACAATTCCAGACTTCGTGCTACTACTGAGATTTTTTTTAAAAACCCAATAATACTTTGCCCGACCCGGGAATCGAACCCGAGACCCCTTGCCCTGCAGTCGCACTTGCGACCACTCGGCCAACGAGGCAGTCTACAACATTATGATTGTAATTATAAATAATTTGTTATGTAAAGTCACATGTATATATTGTTTACTGAAATTTAACTTTACACTTCAGGTGGAACAGCTAAAACAAGACGTGTCCGAGCTGGAAGCCCTGCAGGAGGTCCATGAACAGCTGGTGGAGTCTAACAGGGAACTGGAGATGGACCTTCGGGAGGAACTGGAGATGGCGCACGCTAATACAAGAGAGGTATGTGAAAGAAATAATATTATTATCTATTCTTTACCAGCACTTAGCTTCACTTGGCACGGCTGGTGCGGCGGCTGGGTATCCGTCTGCCGCGCAACGTGTACTGGGTTCGATTCCCGCACTGAACAACTCTTTGTGTGATTCACAGATTATTTTTCCGGGTCTTTATTCCTTTTTTTTAACGTTGAAAAATCATTGAATGAATGCTCCCGCCCTGGTGAGGCGGGAGAGAGTGTCAGTCTTACTGACTAATAACCACCCCGTTTCTACTCTCGTACGTCGAGCTCGAGCCCCGGTAACCCGTTTAGTCCTCCGCAGCTCCGTATCGGCATCAGCCCTGTTGGGCCCCATCCGTGGTGGTCTGATGGCTCTTTGAGGCGCGCGCGGAACGCTCGGCGCCGTACGCTCGGGTCGGTTTCTGGTCGGACGGGGAGCCACCCATGCTCGCCGCCCGCAGGCCCGCGCTTACGGTGGCCGGAGATCGAATTGTTCCGGGTCTGGGTGTGATGTGTATGTGAACTTGTATGTTTGTTAACGCACGACACGGGAGAAAATCCAAGTGTGAGGCAAAGTTTTATTTAAAAAAAAAAACTTATGGACAGACTGACTGACAAGCTAATTTTTGACGTTTCTGTATTCATCTGCAGAAGTGCATCGCAAATAATCCGGGTAAAATTTTGATCATCGACTTTTCGATCGGTACCCAATGCTATTTCTACCGGCACCGATTGCTTACCTTCAGGTGATCCGTTAGCTCGCTTACCGAATTATCCTATAAATAAAAATCGTAATAAAAACATAACGTAACATAATACAGAGTCCACGAAGTGGTAGGCAGAGGTGTACATTACGACACTTAAGGCCAATGTACAATGTAACATTCACTTTTCACTATTTATGTTATAAGGCCCAAGTAATAGGCTCACCCCCTATTACATGGGACTCATAACATAAATAGTGAAAAGTGGGTGTTACATTGTACAGTGGCATTAAGTGCCGTAATGTACACCTCTTCCTATGCCTTCGGGGATAAAACTATTATTATATATCCTTACTAATATTATAAATCGGAAAGTGAGTTTGTTTGTTTGTTTGAAACGATTGCTTTGAAATTTTGCAGACGTGAAGTTAGAAGTCTGGATTAAATAATAGGGTACTTTTTATCCCGGAAAAATTTGATATTCTCGAGGAAAAACGAAATTATTGGTATAGATGGCGCTGTGTGTATTGGTATATGTCACATAGGCTACTTTTTATCCTTTTGTGACGCGAGCGAAGCCGCGGGTAAAAGCTTGTAACATATATTTTAACATTTTTCAGGCTATAAGAGAAAGAGAAGCTGCTTTGGAAACGATCATGGACCGAGACTCCACTATACTCAAGTTCAGGGAGCTCGTTCAGAAGATGACGGAGCAGTACAATGAGACTAGAGCACAGCTAGAGTCCAAACAGGGTAAGTTGAGCTTTTTGCCAACTATGGGGATTATGGCCCGTTGTTTTGCCTTAATCACCACACTTGATTATTTGTTTGGAGATTACAGTTAGGTTACTGATAGTTTAGATAATGCTACTGTCTATTGTAAATATATTTTAATAACTGTTTGACATTAGATATTGTCAGTATAACAAACAAACAAACGAACAAATATATTTATTTCCATTTTGTTCACATATACTTAATCTAAGCTTATTATTTAACTATTCTAGGTAGGTTACAATACTATGCCTGTATAGAATAAAATATGTACCACAAGCTTTGTGGTCGCGTGCATTATACATTACGATAATATAACTAACTAAGCCTTAACAATATTATTTTTACAGTCACCAATATTACAAAACCTTATGTATTTATGTGTTTTAGATTTTTGCACTCCGTACCTTAAAAACGTATACGATATAATTCATAATCGTCAGATCAACTCATGTAATTTTCGAACAAAAAGTTGGGCATTCCTGTTTCTATACACTTTAATATTTTTCTCCCCACAGGTTCACCAGCGCCATCGGAACAGGAGTCCACTCCAGAGCCAGTATCCCGAACCTCACCGCCAATGGATCTTGGATCCTTAGTCCACGCGTCCAGAGCTTCCACGAGGTCTATAGATCTTCAGCTAAGGGCCTTAGACCTTACTCAGGCCAGGGCTAGAGCTGATATGTTGGCGGCGTGCTTGCCTGACCACTTTATGGCTACTTCTGGTAAGTCAACATTACTATTTGAAGTGTTTTTTATAATCCCCGCACTTGGTAAATAGCTTGACGATTGCAGTAAAGTTGATAATGTTGCCAAAATTCACTGACTAAAGACTCTAATGTTACCTATGTTGACAATTAATTAAATGAATTTGAATTTAAAATCGCGGGTTCATCAACAGCCTATAAATGCCCACTGCTGAGCAAAGCCTCACCTCACACGGAGAAGGTTAGAGCATTAATCACCACGCTTGCTCAATGCGGGTTGGCGATTTCAAAAACTTATAATTAGAAATTGTAAGTTCAGGTTTCCTCACGATGTTTTTCCTTCACCGTTTGTCAGTGGTGTCTAAATAATCTTAGAAAGTACATATAACTCGGAAAAAGTCACATTGGTACTTGCCGTTGGTAGGTTTCGAACCCGCACCCTCAAGCATGAGAAGCGAGCGTCTTAAACCTCCGGGCCACCACGACATGTGACATGAAATCGCGGGTTACTCACGTGAATATACTGAGAAACTCTAGTAGTTTCGAACCACAGAGGGGTTCTTCCTCAAGGCGACGTCGCGTTTTTTGTTATTTTTTCGCGTCAGCTTTTCTCAGTATATTCACGTGAGTAACCCGCGATTTTAGTTAATGTAATCATATCATTGACATTTGAAAAGATTGTCTTAATCCCCAAACTTGTCAAATAGCTTGGGGATTGCATGTAGATTGCTGAAAATGGTTTTTGAATACTTTGGTGATGTAATCTACATCCTTAAAAGAGTTTTTCATAATCCCCACACTTGGCTAAAACATTGAGATTACAGTTAGGATACTGAAAATCGTTGCAAATTCGTAGACCAACTTAATACCTATTAAGTTGGTCTACGAATTTGCAACGATTAACAACGGTACTATAAAAAAAATTACTGTCGTGGTTTTTCTGCTTTATACCTTAATTTCGTATAAAAATTTATTATATTTGTCTACAGGCGACCACGACGCAATCCTGCTTATACTACTTCTGCAAAGATTGAATACAAAGGCGGACATCGTTCTGGGACAAATTAGAGAGAGGTATGTATTCATTCACTGTGACTGCCTCGACACACCAACCAAGTGGTCACAAGTGCGACTGCCGGGCAAGGGGTCTCGGGTTCGATTCTCGGGTCAGGCAAAGTATTACTGGGTATTTAAAAAAATCTCATGTGTCGTGGTGGCCCGGAGGTTTAAGACGCCCGCTTCTCATGCATGAGGGTGCGGGTTCGAAACCTGCCAACGGCAAGTACCAATGTGACCTTTTCCGAGATATATGTGTTTTCTAAGATTATTCACACTGACACCACTGACAAATGGTGAAGGAAAACATCGCGAGGAAACCTGGGCTTATAATTTCTAATTATAAGTTTGTAATCGCCAACCCGCATTGAGCAAGCGTGGTGATTAATGCTCAAACCTTCTTCGTGTGAGAAGAGGCCTTGCTCAGCAGTGGGCATTTATAGGTTGTTGATGATGAAAAAAATCTCAGTAGTAGCACGCGGTCTGGAAATGTGCCCGGTATTATGTCAATAGGCTCACCCCCTATTACATGGGACTCATAACATAAATAGTGAAAAGTAGATGTTACATTGCACAGTGGCATTAAATAATAAATAAAAATAAAATAAAATAAAATGTTTATTTCGTGTAAAAAGCCAGGTTACAAAATAAATCTTAATATCTAAACAAAGTCTAAAAATATGTGAAACCTGAACTAGGTCCAAGCCTGTGTTTCAGGTTAAAAATGTACTGAAATATTTAAAATACAATAATATTGCTTATAAAACTAAATTTTTTTATGTCTAAATTAAATTAAGCTAGTCTCTAAGTATAACAGGTGCGCGTGTACAGTTTCATAAACAAACGTAAGCAAAAATAATCTAAGTCAACTATAATAAAATTATTTGCTTACTTCAAGTAATTCTTCGGTTTGATCGTATGTTAAGGTGTGTACATAATTATGTAATAGTTTTTTACAGTGAAAGTGATTGAGGCTACAAATACTTAAATCTCTATTTATTCTATTGTATAAAAATGGGCCAAGAAAGATAAAGAATCTTTTTATAAAAGCGTGTTTTGACACTGAGGTTGAAGTGCAAACTATATCATTCCGCCTTTTGTTAGTAAGGTTATTAATATTGAAGCTGAGTAGTGAATGTTGTTTGAGTATTAGCTGTACTACATAGATTTGGCGAACAGTTAAAACTTTGCAGGATCTATATAGCATCGATGTAGGAAAGAGAAAGGTATGGGAAAATGCAACTTTCAGGATGGCTCTCTGAGCACGTTCTAGAGGGAGTATAATAGTTTTTGATGCGCCACCCCAAGAAGTAACACAGTACTGGATAATTGACTGACATAACGCTAGGTAGATTTGAGTGATTAGTTTAACATCTCCGATTTGTCTAATTTTTTTAAAAATGTACATCAATTTCCTGACACGTGCAACCAAAGCGCTGATGTGTTGTTTGAAACAAAGAGTTTCATCAACTGTGATGCCTAGATATCTAATGGAAGTAGTTTTTAATATACAAGGGCAGTTGCATGTGCCCAGTGGACTAATTCTACATTTATGTGCGTATAATTGGGGTGTAACAGTGGCAATTGGATTCTTGCGCATAGAAAAGTGAATAAATTTTGTCTTCTCCGCATTTAGTGTTAGTATATTAGAGCAAAGCCAACTATTAACTGAATCGAAAGCTAATTGAGCATTACAGTACAGTTCAGTGTCGTTATTGGATGAAAAAATTAGGGCCGTGTCGTCAGCGTATGATATAAGTCTCCCATGATGCATCTCGATGTTACATAAATCGTTGATATAGATCAAAAATAGGGTAGGACCAATAATACTCCCTTGAGGCACTCCAAAACCCGTATTTTTCTGGAATGAGCTTGTGACGTCATCTATTCTAACACACTGGTAACGGTCATCTAGATAATCAGCAAAGAGGTTCAGTTGAGTGCCTCTGATACCCATACATTCCATCTTCTTTAGAAGCAGTGGAATAGACACAGTATCAAAAGCTTTGGCAAGATCAATAAAAATTCCTAGAACGTGGTTGCCTTTACCGAGTTCTTCTGATATGAAATCTGTGAGTGTATGTACTGCATCAGCTGCTGACAATTTTGCTCTAAAACCAAATTGCAGTGGTGACAAGAATTTATTCATTTCTAGGTAATTTACCAATCTGATGTTAATAATCTTCTCAAGAATTTTAGATATCGATGGCAGTAGTGAGATAGGCCTATAATTATTAACTAGATCCTTGTCACCTGATTTGAATATAGGGACAACCACTGCCCTTTAAGACATTTTGGAAAAATGCCTTTAGAGACACTCTCGAAAAACATGAGTCAGAGGTGGGACAAAAATTTGCTTATATGTTTTCAAGATCCTATTGCTGATCCCATCACAACCAGTTGCACAATTATCTTTCATTCCAGTTATGATTCGTGCAATTTCCTGTTCGTCTGTATCTAATAAAACAAATGATTTTTCAGTATTTGAGTGTAGTAAAGGTGTATTAGTCCGGGTTGTAGAGTCTAGCTGCAACTGTTGAGCGAGGTTTCTACCCACATTTAAAAAGAAGTTATTTACATTGTCAGCAGACTGAAGCGAAGAAGATTCTGTTAGTAGTAAATTCGAACATGATTCTCGCTGTTTCGACGTATAAGTTACATTTTATGTGTTGCCAAAGACTCTTACTATTTTTACCCGCCCGATGTAACGCGCCTTTATCGTAATCGATTTTAATCTTTTTCAGCAAATTATTGCAAAAGTTCCTGTATCTTTTGTATGTTAATTGTAGATCAAAATTATCAGGAAAACGTTTTGCTCTATGATGTAGTTTGTCCCGGTGTCTTATACATCTAACAAGCCCAGGCGTAATCCATGGCTTTATGTTATAATGTCTATTATTAGTTTTTATAACTGTGGTATTACGACGAATAGCTTGTTCAACATTATTTATTAAATACGACATCGAGACGTTGACATCAGCAGAATTATAAATCGGTGCAAAGTCGGTATTGCGTAAATCATGTTCGAGTTTTTTTAGGTTTAATTGTGACCTAGTTTGGTGACGATTTTGCTTCGGAAGCGTGAAGTTAAGGATAAGCAGAACGGCATGATGATCGGTTAATGTAGAGTTAGTAACAAGGCTTATATAGTTTGAGTTGGTTTTAACCATCATGTGATCCAGACAGGAACCACTTTGATGTGTTGCCAATTTATGAGCAGCGAGGAGTCCATGAAATGCACATAAATTAAGGTAATCCTGTATTCCTGCATCAGAATTCTCAGAGTTGATATTAATGTTTATGTCACCTGTTAGTACAATATTTCTAAAGGAGGTTAGTTTTTCGCATGTCTGGTTTAAGGAATTGAGAAAGGAATCTAAATTTCTAGTGGAAGGTGGCCTGTAAACAGCTATTATTGCTGTAATTGTATCTACCTTAATGACCAAACAATTGCATCCTGGTGTATTAGGTTCCTCTACAGTAACTCTTAATGAATCTTTGGCATAGACAACCACTCCTTCATTTTGGCTAGTATTCATAGTATTACAAAAAGAGTTATATCCCTGAATATCAGGTAGGTTAACGCATCTACTTTTAAGCCAACACTCTGTTAGTATGATTATGTCACATGAGAAGTTGAGTCTACCTAAAAGAACATGAAAATTATCTATATTTTTGTATAAGCTACGAATGTTTTGGGTGAGAACAGTTAGTGACTTTGAGAAGTTGGATACATAGCTTTTGCAATCTTCAACCTCACAGGAAGTGGATATGTTTGAAAAGGAGTCGTCAATTACATTAATTAAGTTAATGGCCATTTAACAAGTAAACTTAGATCTAAGATTAAGAAAAAAGAGTGGCGCTCTTAGGCGCCTTCATAATTTACCGAATTCATGTACCTATTTTCTGCTGCTTTTTTGGCCGGGCAGTCAATATCACCAGTTTGATGGTTGCTCGGCTTTTTGAAGCGGGCGCAAGTAGCGCACTTCGGCGGAGCTCCTTTCTTAGGGCAGTCTTTGATAGAGTGGCCCTCATCTCCGCAGTGACCACATGTTAGAGCGGCAGCCTGGCACGACTTGGCTGCATGACCATACTGCTGGCAGTTGTAGCATCTGGTCACTATAGTGAAGTCTCTCACAGGGCAGGATGTCCAGTTGATGAACACTCTATCTTGCGTTATAAGGGCTTTACGTAGGGCGGCTGAAACTTCAATAATGTAGTTGCAGTGGTCGGCGTCTCTCCTTCCTGATTTATGGCTTAATTTTATTGAAGCCAGGAAGGCATCACGGGACAAACTGGGAAGCTTTTCAGCAACGTTTTGTTCAAAAATACATTTGAACACTTCCGGCTCAGCCATTGAGGTCGGGATTCCTAAAACAATTAGTCGCGGATTCCGTTTCTTCGGCTCATCAACGGTAAGTCCTGTGGAGGAGAGCTGGACTGATTTCTTCAGCTTTTCCAAGTCCTCTTTTGTTTCAGTGCTAATAATGACACCGCCGTTACGTATCTTGCGAACGCCACGTACTTTTAGATTGATGTCTCCTGGGCTAATGGCTTTTTGTACAATGTTCTTAGTTTCGTCGCTGGTCTTTGATTTATCACTAGGATAAATTGCAACAGAGCTTAAGGGGCTTGGACGTACAAAGTTGTTGGCACCTTTTTTCACCATGTCGGCAAAAGAGCTATTTTGTGGCACGGATTTAGAGCAGGACTCTTTTATCGTCTCTTTAATTTGCGTTAAAGAAACAGCAAGGTCATCTTTTTCCTTGAGGTCCTGTAAGGCATAGTGTTGGATCAATGCCTTATTCTTCAGGGCTTGGTATTGCACAGTGACGTGGGTGAAACCTTGGGATACTTTTCGGCAGAGGTTGCTAATTTTCAATTTCTGTTCGGAGTTCAGTTTGCCCTCGGAAGAAATATTGCAGATTTCTTGTAGGTATCTCTCAACTGATCCGGTCCATTGGTGAAGATCTGATGTAGTCACAACTTCTGGAGGGTCAATTTGGGCTGGTTGTTCCCGGCACGGTGTTGTCGGCGGAGGGGTGCGGCGAGTAATCCCGCTCCGGTTGAAGGGGCTGCTGTCCATATTACTCGTCGTAAATGCCGTAATGTGCACCTCTGCCTACACCTTCGGGGATAAAAGGCGTCATGTTATGTTATTTAACTTTTCTTGTTATCATATGTTCCCAGGTTCCCCCCAGTAAACGTGTGGGATAGAGAAGTGGTGACGAAGACTCACACGGCGGTACAATACAGCTTCCGCTGCCAACTGGAGTATCAGCTGCATATGATACAGGTAAGATAATACTTATCGGCCGTTTTTACAATATTACGGTAGTTTCCTAAATTTTATTTGAATGTCCGTCTGGTACATTAATTTTAAACTTTAGACACGTATTTTTTTTCTTTTCTCACAAAATTAAATACTTTCGACGATATATGTCGATATGCTCCTGTGGCTAGAGCTATTAAAATAATTAACAGAGTTGGACAAAAGGTTGATATTTTCTGTTGCTCATTGGCGAAGTTCATAAAGGTAACGACTGATGTTGTTAACTTTGTAGTTACATACAGTAGTGTACATAATATGTAGTTAATGGATAAGTGCAAATAATATGTATGGCTGTGTTGTTGTTATAAGTTTTTATTTAAGTTTTTTTTATTAATGTTAATTATAAGTTTTTATAGTAAGTGACAACATTATCGCATTGGGTGTAACCTGTTAGGATGTGTTAAATTAAATAAATAAATAAATATTAATTTGAAATATCGTGTGACGTCACAGCGTGCCACATTTTGTAGCACGTTATGACGTAACGACCTCCCACTTCTAAACATAGCGCCATTTTATCTAAGTATTACAATTTAATACGAGAAGATTAAAAAATACGTGTCTAATATTTTTTCATTATCTAATTGACGGACTAATTAGATTTTTAAACTGGAAACTACCCAATTGTATATAATTATTCAAGCTTCAAACCTTCAAGAAAATACCGTATTCCTTTTTAAAAGGCCGGCAACGCACCTGTCACTCCTCTGGTTTTCCGAGTCTATGGGTGGCGCTGAACACTTACTATTTGGTGATCAGTTCGCTCGTTTGCTTCCTATTCCATAAAAAAATATATGAATGTATGTGTACGTATGTCCCCCCCCCCCAGTGCGTAGAAAAGGCCGGCAACGCACTTGTGACTCCTCTAGTGTCGATCAACCAAATCAACCAATAGGGTAGTTGCCAGGGTAAGATACGACCTTCAAACCTTCAAGAAAAGAGCGTATTCCTTTTTAAATGGCCGGCAACGCAGCTGTGACTCCTCTAGTGTCCATGGGCGGCGCTGATTGCTTACCATCAGGTGATCAGTCTGGCCGTTTACCTACTATTCCATAAAAAATATATGAATGAGTGTGTATGTCCCCCCCAGTGCGTAGTGTGCATGTGGACGGCGGCGCTGGACAGTTGCGCGCCGGAGGTCCTGCTGCGCGCCGCGGCCGCGCTGCCCGACGCCGCGCAGCAGGAGCGCGCGCTCGACGCACTCACGCAGCTGCTCAAGGCCAACGAGCTGGATGAAAACTGCGCTCTAGATGGTAAATATATGTCGCGGAGAACCTAACGGGTACCGGGGCTCCGGCTCGACGTGCAGGAGAAGGAACGGGGTGGTTTTTAGTCAGTAAGAGTCTGACACTCCCTCCCGCCTCACCCAGGCGGGAGCAGTCATTCGATGATTTTCCCCCCTTAAAAAAAAAGATGGTATATATATACTTTTTTTGTATGAAAATTACACCAAAACATCCCAAAACCGCTGCAATTCTTTTAAACCAGGATCTTTTGTGATGATGTACCGGAACATTCGCTCGAACGGTTTTGCTATGTTTTTATTAAAATTTTCGTAAGACATACTAAATGAACTTCCTCTTTGGCCAAAAGGTCGCAAGTGCGACTACCGGACAAGGGGTCTCGGGTTCGATTCCCGAGTTGGACGAAGTATTACTGGGTTTTAAAAAAATCTCAGTAGTAGCACGGAGTCTGGAATTGTGCCCGGTATATGGCAATAGGCTCACCCCCTATTACATGGGACTCATAACATAAATAGTGATAAGTAGGTGTTACATTGTACAGCGGCATAATGTGCACCTACGTATATGTGTCTACCCCTTCGGGGATAATAGGCGTGATGTTATGTTACTAAATGAATTGTTATGTTTTCGATTTACTCAAGTAACTGTTTGGTGAGGAACTCGACTAGTTTTAAACCATGCTAGAGACTCACAGCATTCCGCGACCCGCGACGTGGCGACTGTCGCGCAGCTGTCTAGCATGGCTTGAAACTAGTCGAGTTCCTCGTCAAACAATTACGTGAGTAAGCCGAAAACATGATAATTAAATCGCCCGTACTTTGTTTTTAACCGATTTCATAAAAAAAGAAAGTTCTCAGTTTGACCTATATGATGTATGTTTGTGCGCGCATATCACGCAATCAGCTGAACCAATTTTGATGCGGTTTTCAGAAACGTGTTTGTTACACTTAGGAGAATGTTTTAGTATATTAATTAACCGACTTAAAAAAAGGGGGTTGTTGAGTCATGCACTCAGTGGCCTCCGCTGCGCACTGGAGGGGACGACGGACGGCGGCGCGCGCGGCGACGACCGCCTGCCCCGCACGGCCCCGACACGCCAGTCAGCTGTTACTACGACACTACGACGCACGTCCGCGCTCGCGCCTTCTAATCCAGTTTAATTATATTAATTTTCTTATAACCATTATCGTAACAGTCTAGTTAATTATTATATTAAGTATTTTACAGTCCACAACTATATTATTTGCTCTCCACTTAACCATCGATCCAACAGGGGTTGAAGTCGGTTTTTTTATACGTCCCAAGTTTATAAAAGAAAAACTACGGCAACCTGGGCGAAGCTACTGGTAGAAGCTAGATTAAGTATTGGTTTTGATTATAACATTTTGTCCCAGGTATCGAGCGAGTGTGGACGTATCTAACAGCCATGTGGGGCGCCCTGGGCCTCGGCGTGGTGGCGGAGGCGGCGGTGGCGCGCGAGCCACTGTTGCATACTTGCAGTGCGTTGGATGCACTCGCCCGGGCGCTGCATGCCGACGCATCCGCACTCACTCATATACTGCAGGTTGGTAATGTATACATTTCAGGGGATGTGTCGTAAATAAGAAGGCGAATAACTATCTGTGTCATTTATCTACTTCGCACGGTGTCACTCGCTCTGCTAGGCTCCTATTGGTCGTAGCGTGATGTTTTATAGCCTATAGCCAGGGTTGCCAAAGCTAATTCATCAAAATCCTCAAAATTCCTGATCGAGTTCCCCAAATTGGGGAATAAATAATAATTTATTTATTCATTCAGATAATACAATCCATATGGTTAGTAAAGACATCTACAACTTATAAACTAGTATTAGTACATCAAACCTCATCATATAAAATTAAAATAATTTGTCATAATATGTAATCTAATGATAATTTAGCAACAATACTGCTGACTTTCACTACTTCTGGGCACGGTTTGTAGGCAATCACTTGCGTCTTCGTCCAGTGTTTCAGCATAAGGCCATCAGTCCTATCCGCCACGGTCATCAGAAGACTGTTGGCGCTGCCCCGCGCCGCTGCATCAGGGAGGCGACACGCTTTCTTATGATGCGTAGAAATCATCTATGCGTGCATCAGCGAACATCCCGATGCGCTACAGTGTCGAGGCAGCCTCAACAGTGCCCTGTACGCGTTATTATATTGGACTCGCAAGGCGCTGTAAGCCCTCTGCGTGTAGTCGACCCATAAGGCTGCAGGTAAAAAGATTGACAAATGCCCTGAAAAGTGTAGCCTTCACATTATGAAACACTTTGCAAACCTGCGGATCAACATATTGCTCCTGACTGACAGCGCCCTACGTTCCCTCTCCATGTCTTTACTATCAGTCTGTGTGTCAGTGACCCAGTGCCCCAGATACTTAAAGAAGTGACCCATTCCAACGCAGTCCCCGCAAGTGCAACGGGTGGTATATCATAGGTTTTAGTACCTGCCCTGAAGAGTAGACACTTGCTCTTCCTTGCATTATACCTAAGACCCTGGGCCTCGGCATCGCTCACACACCGACAACAGCGTCCTGAGGGCGCTGATCGATGGGGCCAGAAGCACCATATCATCGGCATAACTAATGTTGTTGACAAGTGTTCCGTTTATTGAACAACCTACCATAGTGCTGCAGAGCTCACGAACCAGCCCATCCACATATAGACAGAAGAGTTTCGGCGAAGTCAGGCCGCCCTGCCTCACCCCACACTCCAGTCCATACGGATCCGATAGCGAACCCGCCCACCTCACCATATTGGTTTGATGGCTATACCAAAACTTGAACAGCTCAATAACCTCACCCGGAACCGTCGTCTCACCATACAGCTTCTTCATAAAACATCATAGGACACTAGGTCGAAGGCCCTCGATAAATCCAGAAAACAGGCATACACAGGAGTCTTCCTATCCGTGTAGTATCGAACAGTGTGCTTGAGACAAAGAATAGCGTGTTCAGTGGACAGACCAGCCCTAAATCCAAACTGGGCGTCGTGAAGCGACAGATGTTTATTCAACTGTTTATCCAGCACACCGTCCAACACCTTCGCAATTACTGTAGCCAACGATATTGGCCTATATTATCCATGTCAGAAGCATCCCCAGTGCTATTTTTAATGACGGGCACCACCAGGGTCTTCATTAGGTCGTGCGGAAGGTACGTGTGTGAGAAACATAAATTAAAAAATAAAGCAAGTACCCTGGGCATATGAACACCTGCATTTTTGTAAATGCTCGATGCTCAGAGAATCGTGCCCAGGTGATTTCCCCCGCTTCATGTCTCTCAACACTGCCGCGATTTCCTTAGCTGAAACCCTTACCAACGACCCCATCGCAGAATCCCTAGTTGTCGCGGCCCCTCCCGCTGCAACCTAACGGGGACCTCACCTCAAAATGGTTTTTAAATAGGTTTGAGATGGCTGTTGGCTCGCTAACACCCTCAACATTCGCAGGAAGGCTCGACCTGTACCCCAGCTGGTTCGTGTGCTTCCAAAACTTACCGAAGTCTCTCTTGTCATGACAGGATGCTATAATGTTCATTTTAATTTGTTCCCTATTTTCCTGACACCACTTCAGTTACTTTTTAAATACTCGTTTCGTTTCTCTCATGTTACAATAAACAGGACCGAATTTAGGTTCACCACATAGCACCCAATTCTGATAAGCACGTCGAGCCTCCAAGTGCGCCTGTCGAACATGTTTATTCCACCCTATTACTGGCTTTCTTTTGTTTCGTGCCGGCCCAGAGTAGCTAATTAATGATGCTTTACTTAATATGTCAACAATTTTGTAATACATTTTATCAATAACGCATCTATGGTTTGCAATAGTACATAAATTGTCACAACAGTTAATAAATTCAGAGGGAAAATCAATTTCTTTTAAACTTATCGCACATAACTTTTTATACATTTCAATTTGTTTCAAGTCTCTTTCCCCCCACACAATTTTATTTCGTTCGCTAACGTGACAGCTGTATTTAACCTTAAGTACGTTAAAGTTACAGGTAACTTGTAGTGGAATATGATCCGACCAATAAACACCATGCAATATCTTTACGTTAACTACCGCTGTCCACGCCGCTTCAGATACAATACAGTACATAAAAATCCGCTGATTCCCCACAAATTCCCCTCAAATTTTTTTATAAAATAATACTATAATTAATTATTTAAATAATATTGATTGTTTATCTTTTATATTTTTTTCCATATATGTATTAGTCGAAAGCATTTTGTTCGAAGGGTTCAACTCTCCACTCATCTTCTAATTTTTGTACTGTCACAAATTTATAAAGCACTGGACATCCTTCAGTACAGGCACCAGTGACTTAATTTGAAACTGTTGAGCTTCTGATGGATTTGAAACAGATATAATAGAAAATAAAGGATCTCGGAAATCAAATATCTTAATAATGTCCGACGTGAATTCCATATAAAATTCTTAGCATGTCTTATAGAAATCTGCAATAGCTGCAAAATGTACCTCGATTTTCATATTTTTTCAAATCTTCCATATTCTCTCCAGCCTTCATGCGTTATGATTTAAAAAAATGTTGTTATCGATAATAAACGATGAAATATTTTCCAATTTGTGTCAAATGCCAAAAAATGTCAAAATCCCCGCATTTTCCCCACATAATGCCAATCCCCAATAAATCCCCAACCAACTTGAGATTTCCCGCAGTTTGGGGAATTCCCCACAGATTGGCAACCCTGCTTATAGCCTTCCTCGATAAATAGACTATTCAACACAAAAATCATTATTCGAATCGGACCAGTGATTCCTGAGATAAGCGCGTTCAAACAAACAAACAAACAAACAAAAAAATTGAAAAAATATAGATTTGTGTTGAATAATCGGTTCATGGAATATCAAATCAATGATACTAGTTTCGCGTGTCAGCGCACACTGCTCATGAATGAAGGTCCCGTTGGAACAAGAAACTGGTAGACCATTTCTCAATTATTTACGCGAGTAAATAGTCATTTACAGTAGTTTACGGGTAGTTTCCTAAATTGTATTTCAATGTCCGTCCGGTAGATTATTAATTAGACACGTATTTTTTCTTTTCTCACATAAATCTATACTTTCGTCGATATATTAATTTGAAATATCGTGTGACATCACAGCGAACATTTAGTAGCACGTTGACGACCTCCCACACCACTCCTAAACTTAGCGCCATTTTATCTAAGTATTGTAACTTTATACGACAAAATAAAAAAATACGTGTCTTATATTTTTTCATTATCTAATAGACTAATTAGATTTTTAATTTTCTTACCCTGGCAACTACCCAATTATTTTCTATGATTATTATAAATTATAATTATCTAGAATTGTGCCCGGTATATGGCAATAGGCTCACCCCTACATGGGACTCATAACATAAATAGTGAAAAGTGAATGTTACATTGTACAGTGGCATTAAGTGCCGTAATGTGCACCTCTGCCTACACATACGGGATAAAAGGCGTGATGTTGTGTGCGTATAACAATAGCTACTGTCTCTGTACTGAATCAATCTTTATATTCTTACCTGCATACCAAATAAGTTGGCTGACTGAACACTTAAAAGTACTGCTTAGGGATGTTATGGATATGAAATATGGATAGAAATGATTATTATACTGGATACGGTTACGGGTACGGATATGAAATTATTTCAGATTATCCGTTAATTCCGGATAATTTCGGTTACGGATATTAAAATTTTAAGGAATGTCAAAAGTAAAATACATATAGCTAATATAATTGTTTCGTTTATACGTCACGCCGCTATCCGATAGTATCCGAAACTTTTGTTTCGGATTCGCTTACGGTTACGGATATTTTTTATATCGGATATCCGATAGTTTCGGTTACGGTTACGGAGCTCCCTAACATCCCTGGTACTGCTCATTTCACCTCTGCCTTCCCCTACGGGGATAAAAGGCGTGATGTTATGTTATAATTATGTTTCCCCAGCAATCCGACCGTCAACAAGAGCTGGGTCTACTACACGAAGCAGTGTGTAGTTCAAGTGCTACACTGCAACAACAACTCAAGTCGGTCCGCAGACGACTGCCGCCTGGAGTGAAGCTACATGCCGTGCCCTTGGACCCTCAGGTATGTGCGACTTTGTTTTTATAATAACGGCAATAATTTTTTATGGCATAAGCCGGTAAACGAGCATACGGATCACCTGATGGTAAGCAATCGACGTTGCCCATGGACACCTGGAACACCGTTACAAGTGCGTTTCTGGCCTTTTGGGGATTAGGAGTTTGAGGATCGTTGGGGATTCAGGGATTGGGGAGATTGGGGAAGAGGAGAGTAATTGGGCCCGCGGTATCCTCACTTACACGACGAAACACAACGCTAGCGTTGTTTCATGTCGGTTTTCTGCTCGGCCGTGGTATCACTCCGGTCGAGCCGGCCCATTCGTGCCGAAGCATGGCTCTCCCACCAAAACTATTGTGAGACAGTAAATTAATTAAAATTCGCGGGTTACTCACGAGAAAGCTCTACTATTTTCGAACCACAGAAGGGTTCTCCTTCATGAACAGCAAAACTGTCGAATGATCTGTCGTTGGCAGTATTTCCGAAGCGATACGACCTTCAAACCTTCAAGAAAAGAGCGTATTCCTTTTTAAAAGGCCGGCACCCGTGTCCCTAGTGTAGCTGGTATCCATGGGCGGCGCGGATGGCTTACCATCAGGTGATCCGTCCATAAAAGAAAAGCATGCGCAGTTGCGGCTATGTCGTGGCGTCACGGCATGTTCGTGACGTATTCGCTCCGTGCCCGTCTCGTCACACGGCCCTTAGCTTTAGAAAGATCTTGCTGTTGACCCTGGAGTGATATTAAAATTCGATTGTTTGTGAATGTTTATTTTCAGGATTTATATTAAATCTCTTACAAAATGGTATACGAAATCTAAGATTTGGGTATTAGGAATTATTTTATTTCTGGAGTGATTTTGAATTACTGAATTTGTGATTGTGATATCATTCCGAATACTGAAAAGCTACACAAGCTTTAAGTTACGTTTAAGTATAGTTGTGTCACTTCATACTTAAATTAATAACATTCTTTGTTTAATGACAGAGTTATTTCCCATTGGTTTAGATACTATTATCAAGTAGGTAATTCTCTCTTCCATTTTCAGCATTTGCCCAATACTTAGGAATCATAATCTGTGGCAATTTCCAGTTAGTGGAGCGTCTCCGCGGCGAGTGCGCGAGCTCGCTGTGGCGCTGCTCGCGCGCCACGTGGCTGGCGGCCCGCGCGGCCTGCGCCTGCGCCGCCACGGCCGGGGAGCGCGCGGACGGCGCGCCGCTCGGACACGCCACGCTGCTCACTCTCTGGGCCGCTGCAGTCGACAAGATATACCAGCAGGTGGGTGCTACATACATACATAACGCTATGGCTGGCGGCCCGCGCGGCCTGCGCCTGCGCCGCCACGGCCGGGGAGCGCGCGGACGGCGCGCCGCTCGGACACGCCACGCTGCTCACTCTCTGGGCCGCTGCAGTCGACAAGATATACCAGCAGGTGGGTGCTACATACATACATAACGCTATGGCTGGCGGCCCGCGCGGCCTGCGCCTGCGCCGCCACGGCCGGGGAGCGCGCGGACGGCGCGCCGCTCGGACACGCCACGCTGCTCACTCTCTGGCCGCTGCAGTCGACAAGATATACCAGCAGGTGGGTGCTACATACATACATAACGCTATGGCTGGCGGCCCGCGCGGCCTGCGCCTGCGCCGCCACGGCCGGGGAGCGCGCGGACGGCGCGCCGCTCGGACACGCCACGCTGCTCACTCTCTGGGCCGCTGCAGTCGACAAGATATACCAGCAGGTGGGTGCTACATACATACATAACGCTATGGCTGGCGGCCCGCGCGGCCTGCGCCTGCGCCGCCACGGCCGGGGAGCGCGCGGACGGCGCGCCGCTCGGACACGCCACGCTGCTCACTCTCTGGGCCGCTGCAGTCGACAAGATAACCAGCAGGTGGGTGCTACATACATACATAACGCTATGGCTGGCGGCCCGCGCGGCCTGCGCCTGCGCCGCCACGGCCGGGGAGCGCGCGGACGGCGCGCCGCTCGGACACGCCACGCTGCTCACTCTCTGGGCCGCTGCAGTCGACAAGATATACCAGCAGGTGGGTGCTACATACATACATAACGCTATGGCTGGCGGCCCGCGCGGCCTGCGCCTGCGCCGCCACGGCCGGGGAGCGCGCGGACGGCGCGCCGCTCGGACACGCCACGCTGCTCACTCTCTGGGCCGCTGCAGTCGACAAGATATACCAGCAGGTGGGTGCTACATACATACATAACGCTATGGCTGGCGGCCCGCGCGGCCTGCGCCTGCGCCGCCACGGCCGGGAGCGCGCGGACGGCGCGCCGCTCGGACACGCCACGCTGCTCACTCTCTGGGCCGCTGCAGTCGACAAGATATACCAGCAGGTGGGTGCTACATACATACATAACGCTATGGCTGGCGGCCCGCGCGGCCTGCGCCTGCGCCGCCACGGCCGGGGAGCGCGCGGACGGCGCGCCGCTCGGACACGCCACGCTGCTCACTCTCTGGGCCGCTGCAGTCGACAAGATATACCAGCAGGTGGGTGCTACATACATACATAACGCTATGGCTGGCGGCCCGCGCGGCCTGCGCCTGCGCCGCCACGGCCGGGGAGCGCGCGGACGGCGCGCCGCTCGGACACGCCACGCTGCTCACTCTCTGGGCCGCTGCAGTCGACAAGATATACCAGCAGGTGGGTGCTACATACATACATAACGCTATGGCTGGCGGCCCGCGCGGCATGCGCCTGCGCCATTACTGCATCTTTATTTAAGGGATTTAATCACACAGTGATAATGTCACCCCGTGATCCACAAATGAACTTATCTAAAATCTAAATATACTAAGTATCTTATGAACTATTCAGTGTACATAAACAGTTAAACTTACATAGTATTAACTAGTTATACTTGTTACACATAATTAATAACATTTAGGAGTCGACACAAAACCCTAGCATCTTCTGACAGAGGGACAGCTAGGATGCTGTTACAAGTCCCTACTTCAAATCCAGATAATTTTAAGTTTCTTTCCAGTATGTTCCAATTACACACCGTCAGGTAGATATCCTCTATTTCTCCACTTGTCTTGCCTTGTCTTGTCTTTTTATATTATTAGCACGATCTGTGTTTCTGTATTTCTAATCTATGTATACGTATTTTTAATCGTCTGTAGTACTCACACCATATTAATTCATTAATTCAAAATCCTAAACGTGAGGACTTGTAATTAGGTACTTGCCTTAATCAAAAAAAAAAAAATGTCTGTTCAATACAATAAAATATTAAAAAATAATCACACTTTCATTATTGAATTTTATGACCAACTTCATTTAATATTTTTCCAGCATTTTTTTAAGAAATAAGTACGCTGTTTGACGCTAAAAAAAGTGACGTCACAATATACAATCTCGTACAAAATTCATAGAACACTCTCGTTTTTGACAGTTCGAAAAAAGTATTGAAATTGACTAGTTGGCAAGTACCCGATTGGCTCATTGATATCTATGCCTATTGTTATTTTTATCCCCTTTTCTAAGCTGTAAGTCCTCCAACAATAATAAATAAATAAATAATTTAAACTTCAACTCTACAGGATGACCACGGCCCCGTCCGTACGATCAAGCACTCCCTGGCCGCCGTAGCGACGGACGTGAACAAGTTGGCGACGTTCGCACAGGACAAGGAGTACGACATGATGTCGCTAACCAACGTGCAGTCCGAGAAGGTAACAATTAATTACTTACGTAACATTTCGAGAAGATACCCGACCACTTTCAAGCCACGATTGGGGCTTATATAAACGTGAACTGATGAAAATCGTAATCGGGCAATGTGAATATCATACTGTCCATGGCAAAGACCATTTTTAGAAAATAAAAACAGACTTGTACACTACTTTTCATACTAAAATATTGAACACTTGTATATTTTTTATTTGTCTTTACTAAAAAAATAAAGTTTTCTCCGTAAATTCTACAATTTTGGTATCAAGTTTAAACTGAATTGGAAAATCACTACATAGTATAAAACGAAGTCGCTATCCGCCGTCTGTCTGTCCCTATGTATGATTAGATTTTTAGAACGACGCAACGGATTTTGATGCCGTTTTTTTTAATAGATAGTGTGATTCTTTAAGAAGGTTTATATGTATAATACACTAGCTTTTACCCGTGGCTTTGCTCGCGTCACAAAAGGATAAAAAGTTGCCTATGTGACATATACCAATACACACAGCGCCATCTATACCAAGACTTTTGTTTTCCCTCGGGTATATTAAATTTTATCCGGGATAAAAAGTACCCTATTATTTAACCCGGACTTCTAACTTTATGTCTGCAAAAAATTAAAGCAATCAGTTTAGTAGTTACGGCGGAACAAACAAACAAACAAACTCACTTTCCGATTTATAATATTAGTAAGGATGCATATTACACCCGTTCGAAGCCGGGGCGGGTCGCTAGTTAATACTATGATTGATTGTCCATCCCACAGCCGACTCCCCCGGTGGTGATTAGAGCCCAGCTGGTGAAGAAGCAGTTGGAGGAGACCAAGAGCCTCACCATCAAGTTGGAGAACAAGGAAGCTGACATCAGGGAACTCAGGAAAGCCCTTAAGGTGAGATCTCGTTATCATTTTTCGTCAAATATTGCGTAGGATTTTTAACCCATATGTCCCGGACGTTTAACCCATATGAGTCCATTGTCCCCAATCAAGGACGGCATTTTTTAATTCTTCTAAATATATATATATATATATATATTTTTGCTGATCTTAGTTTGTGGACGTCATATCATTGAGTTAATTAAGGTTTTTCTCTTAAATTATATGTAGTTTGTATTTGAGTCCAAATGGGTTAAGATGCCCGATTCTCATGCGTAGGGGCGAGGGTGCGGGCTCGAAATGTACCAACGGCAAGTACCAATGTGACATTTTCCGAGTTATATGTACTTTCTAAGATTATCTAGACACCACTGACAAACGGTGAAGGAAAACATCGTGAGGAAACCTGGGCTTATAATTTGTAATTATAAGTTTGAAATCACCAACCCGCATTGAGCAAGCGTGGTGATTAATGCTTAAACCTTCTCCGTGTGAGAAGAGACTTTGCTTAACAATGGGCATTTATAGGCTGTTGATGTTGAATAAACTAATAAATCAAAGGACTGCCTTGTTGGCCGAGTGGTCGCAAATGCGACTGCCGGGCAAGGGGTCTCGGGTTGGATTACCGGGTCGGGCAAAATATTACTGGGTTTTTAAAAATTCTCAGTAGTAGCACGGAGTCTGGAATTGTGCCCGGTATATGGCAATAGGTCTATTACATGGGACTCATAACACAAATAGTGAAAAGTGGGTGTTACATTGTACAGTGGCATAATGTGCACCTCTGCCTACCCCGTCGAGGATAAAAGGCGTGATGTTATGTTATGTTATGCTGTGTTTGTGTAAAATGTGTTTATATTTGAAATTGCAGGCAAAACAAGAAGAATTATCAGAGATGACAATACGTCGTGAGCTAGGCGAGAGGAAACTGTCCACCGCCGCCAGAGACGCAGAGCTCAGAGCCGAACAACTACAGCGCAGGCTGGAGGACGCTCACAACCAGCTTAAGAGGTCAGTCGGTCAGTCATACCCAGTCATACGCCTCATAGAGCCATCAGACCACCACAGATGGAGCCCAATAAGGCTGATGCCGATTCGGAGTCGCGGAGAACTTAACGGGTAACCGGGGCTCCGGCTCGACGTGCAGGAGTAGGAACGGGGTGGTTTTTAGTCAGTAAGAGTCTGACACTCCCTCCCGTCTCACCCAGGCGGGAGCAGAATCGATGATTTTCCCCCCTTAATAAAAAACCAGGGGGTTTATTGCGCCGCGGAAGAAGACTTGACGGGTAACCGGGGCTCCGGCTTATAGTGCAGGAGCAGGATCGGGGTGGTTTTTACTCAGTAAAGAAAGAAAGAAAGAAAGAAATATCTTTATTTCATGCCAAAAACTAAGTGGCATGTACAAATAAGTCATTGTATTAGTAGGTACTGATGGTTACATGTTCATGTCCCAGCATCGAGCACGCGTGGTGATTAATGCTCAAACCTTCTCCGTGTGAGAAGAAGCTTTGCTCAGCAGTGGGCATTTATAGGCTGTTGATGAGTGTGTTTGTCTAAACGTGGATCAACAAAAGACACAATGTATTTTCTATTTTGGCTCATATACAGGCATTCAAACAGTTAATTAGTTAACTCTTGGAAAAATAAAATTCATGATATTAAAGTCAAAGTCAAAGCTTTTATTTTAATTTAACCATAATTTGGTACTTTTGAAACGTCAACAAATCCTTACTTAATCATCATCAACAGCCGGAAGACGTCCACTGCTGGACAAAGGCCTCCCCCTTAGCCCTCCACGTCGAACGACAACTCGCCACCCGCATCCACTGGCTCCCCGCAACTCTGGCGATGTCGTCGGTCCACCTAGCGGGAGGCCTGCCCACGCTTCGTCTTCCGGTCCGTGGTCTCCACTCAAGGACTTTCCTGGCCCATCTGCCGTCAGTCCTTCGAGCGACGTGGCCTGCCCATTGCCACTTCAGTCTGCAGATTTTGCGAGCTATGTCGGTAACTCTTGTTCTTTGGCGAATCTCCATATTTCGGACTTTGTCGCGCAAAGAAACCCCGAGCATAGCTCTCTCCATCGCACGCTGAGCGACTTTGAGCTTCTCCAGAAGGCCAGAGGTCAGGGACCACGTCTCGGTACCATACGTCATCACCGGCAACACACACTGGTTGAACATCCTGGTCTTTAGGCACTGAGGGATTTTCGATGAGAAGATTTCGCGTAACTTCCCGAACGCTGCCCATCCAAGTTGGATTCTTCGGGCGACCTCTTTGTCGAAATTGGACCTACCTAGCTGTATAATCTGCCCTAAGTATGTGTAGTGGTCTACAACTTCGAGGATATCGTTCCCAACGATGACCGGTACAGGTGCAACATGGACGTTTGACATGATTTTGGTCTTGTCCATGTTCATTTTAAGACCCACCTGTTGGGAGACGATATCGAGGTCGCTGAGCATGGTGTTTAAATCCTCCAGCGACTCCGCCATGATGACTACATCATCGGCGAAGCGGAGGTGTGTGATGTATTCGCCATTGATATTGATGCCCAGTCCACTCCAGTTTAAAAGCTTGAAAACGTCCTCCAATGCGTTGGTGAACAGTTTCGGAGAAATCACGTCTCCCTGTCTCACGCCTTTCTGCAATTGGATTGGTTCCGTGCTATCTTCCTGGAGTCGGATGCGCATGGTGGCGTTTCTATACAAACACTTTAGCACCTCGATATATCTGTAGTCGATATGGCATCGCTGGAGAGACTGCAGCACCGCCCAGGTCTCGATCAAATCAAAGGCTTTTTCATAGTCCACAAACGCCAAGCATAGTGGCAAGTTATACTCCTCAGTCTTCTGTATAACTTGCCGCAGCGTATGAATGTGGTCTATGGTGCTAAAGCCTTTCCGGAACCCGGCTTGTTCGGGAGGCTGGAAGTCATCAAACCTGCGTTCCAGACGGTTCGTGATAACCCTAGAAAACAGCTTATATACATGGCTCAGAAGCGAGATGGGTCTATAGTTCTTCAACAAAGAGTTGTCACCCTTTTTGAAGAACAGAACCACTACACTCCTTTGCCATGCTTTCGGCGTAGTTTCTTCGAGAACGACGGAATAGTTTCTGGAGGACTAAAAGTATCGGTTTTCCACCCGCTCGCAGAAGTTCTGTTGTGATTCCGTCATCACCCGGTGCCTTGTTATTTTTGAGCTGTCTGAGAGCCATCCTAATCTCATACAGGCTGATGTCTGGGATATCCTCGGTATAGTGCCGTGTCAGTTTAGCTCTAGGATCCCGAGCTGTACCGACAATGGGTTGCCGTGTCGAGGTGTATAACTGTCCGTAGAACCTTTCAAGCTCTCTCAGAATCTCTGGCTTCGACGAAACGATGCTGCCATTTTCGGTCTTCAGTTTCGTCATTTGGCTTTGCCCAACAGACGAATTCCTTGCGAATACTTTTGCGCCCTGATTTCGCTCTATGGCATCCCTGTCGTGCATAGCACTTTGAAATTCGCCTATTAAGTTTGCCATATCCAGACATGTCAACTGAAGACTGCAGCCTCATCTCGTGTCGGTCTTTCAATAATTTAAGTGTTTCTTTCGAGAGCTTTTGAGGTCTATTTCGGCGTGGGTTTTTGAAAAACTCTGAGCCCACCGTTTGGACAGTTTCCACTAACCCATTATTTAACTCGTCAATCGTTTCACACTCAGCCAGGCACTGGAAGCGATTATGCAGTTGGAGCTGGAACTGTTCGGGGTTCTGGACCTGGGCGCGACCAGGACGGAGTGTGGACCTCACCAGGCGTGACCTCTCCAGCTTGACATTGATATTCAGTGTGCCTCTGACAATACGGTGATCGCTGCCGGTTTTCACCTTAGCTATCACAGAGACATCACTGAATATGCGCTTGTCGGTCGCCATGATGAAGTCGATCTCATTTTTGGTGTAACCATCGGGACTTATCCACGTCCACCTCTTAGCTGGTCGCTTTCGGAAGAAGGAGTTCATTAAAAGAGTCTCTCCCTCTCCATAAAGTCGACCAGCCGCTGGCCCCGACGGTTTCGCTGCCCATACCAAATGGCCCCATTCTCAGCTCTTCGCCGTTCCGTGTGCCCACCTTCGCGTTGAAATCCCCCATGACAACGGTGAAGTGAGCTTCGGAGGTGTGTATGGCTTGGGAAATTTCCTCATACAGAGCCTCTACTTCATCATCGCAGTGTGTCGAGGTCGGCGCATATACCTGTATGACCTTCAGCGAATACCGGTGTGATATTCTGAGTATAAGGTACGCTACCCTGCTCGACACACTGTCAACTTTACTCACGTTGTTGACGAGGGACTTGCGGACGAGAAATCCGACACCACCCTGGGATTTTTGATCTCCTTCCCGGAAGAAGAGCAAGTTGCCGGAATCCAGGACCATCGTATCCTGGCCCTCTCTTCGGATTTCAGACAGTCCCAAGATGTCCCAACGCATTTTGCTCAATTCTTCCTCCAGCTCGACAATCTTCTCATCGGTCCGCAGAGTGCGGATGTTATGTGTTGCCAGGGCCAAAGTTCGTCGGGGGTGGTAGCGGTTCATCTGCCGGGGATTCTTAGCACCCCCTGCTCCGCCGTTACCCGATCCGCTACCAAGATCAGGAATAGCGGAGCTGCCGGGGACTGGGGGCCGTGTATTTAGGTTGCCGTTCATAGTGAGGGGGGGGGGGGGTTGCCATAATCCCCACGCTTGGCAGGCGGCTTGGGGATCGCAGTTAGGTCACCGATATATTTGTTTGTTTATTTCGGATATATGTTGATATAAATCGGAAAGTGAGTTTGTTTGTTTATTTGTTTGTTTGTTCCACTTTCACGCCGTAACTACTAAACCGATTGCTTTGAATTTTTGCAGACGTAAAGTAAGAAGTCCGGATTAAATAATAGGGTACTTTTTAACCCAGAAAAATTTGATATTCGCGAGGGAAAACAAAAGTATTGGTATTTTTTTTTTTTTTTATGGGGGGAAAACCATCGAATGACTGCTCCCGCCTGGGTGAGGCGGAAGGGAGTGTCAGACTCTTACTGACTAAAAACCACCCCGTTCCTTCTCCTGCACGTCGAGCCGGAGCCCCGGTTACCCGTTAGGTTCTCCGCGACTCCGAATCGGCATCGGCCCTATTGGGCCCCATCTGTGGTGGTCTGATGGCTCTTTGAGGCGCGCGCGGAACGCGACGCGCCGTACGCTCGGGTCTGTTTCTGGTCGGACGGGGAGCCACCCATGCTCGCCGTCCGCAGGCCCGCGCTTACGGTGGCCGGAGATCGTCCCGCGATCCCCGACGCCCGGTGTGTCCTTCGCGATGGCTGGGTTGCGAGGAGGCAGCGCTTCGCTGCCTCACGCGTCCCGCCTCCTCCTTAGCCAGCATGACTGCTTCGCAAAAGGAGGAGACGGCATCCCAGTCCCCCTCGCTCCGCATCATGGCCTGCACTAGGCCCGGACGCGAGAGGTCGCCATCGCCGATCACTTCCCTGAGGGCACGGCGGTGCTCAGCCCACGCAGGGCATTCCGCTACGGTGTGTTCCACCGTGTCCTCAGGGCGGTCCTCGCAGTGATGACACCCGGGCGTTTCCTCCCGCCCCATCAGACACAGGTACCTCCCGAAACTTCCATGTCCGGTGAGGACCTGCGTCAGGCGGTAGGTGAGGACGCCGTAGCGTCTCTCAAGCCACTCCTCAAAGAGGGGTCTTACCGCTGCAATGGCAGCGAGCCCAGCCCTCGGTTGCGACAGTCGTTGCTGCCATTCCGCCATGAGATCGCGCCGGAGCTCATCCCGCCACGCACTTATCTGGCGCGGCAGAGGAGTTTCGCCCCGGCGACGTGCCTCCGCGCGCATGCGATACACGCGCGCGAGCACCTTCGCCTCCAGATCCCACGGCGGTGATCCGGCAAGGAGGTTCGCCGACTCCCCGGAGATCGTGCGGTATCCGCGGAAGAAGTATTGGTATAGATGGCGCTGTGTATTGGTATATGTCACATAGGCTACTTTTTGTCCTTTTGTGACGCAAGCGAAGGCGCGGGTAAAAGCTAGTACAAAATAAATAATAGTCTGTCAGTCTTACATTTACTTATAATTAAGATCTAATATGCTACTTGGTATTTTATTATAGGATTTAATACATAACCCCATGAAGGATTTCTGTACCTTGGACAGTCTGATTTAATAGGGTAGATCCCTAATTTTTATTTTAATGTCCGTCTGGTAGATTATTTTGAATCATTAGACACGTATTTTTTATTTTCACACAGAAACGAATACTTTCGACGACATATTGATTTGAAATGTCGCGTGACGTCACTTCTATGTACATTTTATACGTAGAAATGACGTTTTAGCCCCCACTCCTAAACTTTGATTCGTTTTATCTAAGTATTGTTTTATTATACGACAAAATAAAAAAATACGGGTCTGATATTTTTTCATTACCTACCTAACGGACTAATTAGATTTTGAATTTTCATACCCTGTCATCATCCCAATTATAAATATTACATCTTCTCTTTCAGAAAAGAGAAAGAATTTGAAGAGACAATGGATCATCTACAACAGGACATCGATTCACTGGAGACCGAGCGTGGCGCGCTCAGGGAGAAACTTAAGCTGTATGCTAAACGGGGCGGCACTCATCATGGTATGTACTTCTTTTTATGGGATAAGCCGGTAAACGAGCAGACGGATCACCTGATGGTAAGCAATCGGCGTCGCCCATGGACACCCGGAACACTGGAGGCGTTACAAGTGCGTTACCGGTCAAGTGGTCAAAGTCAAAGTCAAAATCATTTGTTTCAATTAGACCAGGAAGGCACTTTTGAACGTCAAAATTATAATAATTGGGGATTAGGAATTTGAGGGTTGTTGGGGATTCAGGCATTGGGGAGATTGGGTAGTGGGGGGGGGGGGATTGGGTCTCCGGTAACCTCACTCACATGACGAAACACAACCCAAGCGTTGCTTCACGTCGGTATTGTGCTCGGCCGTGGTATCACTCCGGTCGAGCTGGCCCATTCGTGCCGAAGCATTATAGTATTGACATTACTGGGAGGATTTTAGGAGTAGTTTGTTTTATTTATATAAAATATTTACTAATTTCAAAGCGTCGTTTCGTGGCTTAGTCGTCTTTAACTACCATGATCAAAGAACAGGATAATGAAACTATAAGTAACATATTTGTTGTAATTAAATATTAAGAAAATATACAGACTACCTCGTTGGCCGAGTGGTCTCAAATGCGACTGTCGGGCAAGGAGTATCGGGTTCGATTCCCGGGTTTGACAAAGTATTACTGTGTTTTAAAAAAAATCTCAGTAGTAACATGGAGCCGGGAATTGTGCCCGGTATATGGCAATAGACTCACCCCCTATTACATGGGGCTCATAATAGTGAAAAGTGGGTGTTACATTGTACAGTGGCATTAAGTGCTGTAATGTGCACCTCTGCCTACCCTGTCGGGGATAAAAGGCGTGATGTTATGTTATGTTATTAAGAGAATATACTTTTTCATTTTAGACTTGGCGTTTTTGAGTAAGTCCAGTGAATTTTGTTGTCGATTGATCGCTAGTTGTGAATGGAATACTCTCATAATTAACTCGTCGAGTACCGTATTTATAGAAACAATTAAAGAACAATAGGTCGCGGTCACCGGTGACCGCTTGGTGTTTGACAGTTTAAAAATGAACTTCAAATCCATCGAAAAAGGGTTTTCATTTCTTAAAATGACTGCCTCGTTGGCCGAGTGGTCGCAAGTGCGATTGCCGGGCAAGGGGTCTCGGGTTCGATTTCCGGGTCGGGCAAAGTATTACTGGGTTTTTACAAAATTCTCAGTAGCAGCACGGAGTCTGGAATTGTGCCCGATATATGGCAATAGGCTCACCCACTATTACATGGGACTCATAACATAAATAGTGAAAAGTGGGTGTTACATTGTACAGTGGCATTAAGTGCCGAAATGTGCACCTCTGCCTACCCCTTCGGGTATAAAAAGGCGTGATGTTATGTATGTATGTATTTTTTTTAACTCAAAAAAATTACGTCTTTTTTTAAACGTTGCCCCACATTAGTATTTTCTCCTGTGTCGTGGGTGCGTTTACAAACATACAAGTTCACATACACATGACACTCAGACCCGGAACAACAATTTGTGGATCACAAAAAGTGTTGTTCCATGAGGGCATCGAACCCGCGACATTTTGCACGGCAGCCGGTTGCCCAGCCACCGCACCAACCGTGCAGTCGAGTTTTTATTTCTTTGTTTTTACTTTATACATCGAAAGTGCTCCTTATGTCGATTTGTTTTTTCGCGGGACGGAAACTAAATAGATTGTACTGTAGTATGAACTTCCTCTACATAAGAGGGTTTGTCATAATAACCATACAGTTTGCAGTTTAAACTGTCAAACACCAAGCGGTCACCGGTGACCGCGACCTATTGTTCTTTAATTGTGTCTATAAAACCGGTACTCGACGAGTTAAAATAATGAAGTTTATCATAGAGTGCCGTGTCAATTCCATTCACAACTATTTTCAAAATAATAATAATAATAATGCTTTGATTGCAAACGTTTCTTAAAACACAGTAACTGAATGTTTTTATGAGTTCATTAACCGAATGTGTATTTTGAATATATTTTACAACTGCTTATTTGACAGGGTATGAGAATTAAAAATCTAATTAGTCCGTCAGTTAGATAATGATAAAATATTAGACACGTATTTTTTTATTTTCTCGTATAAAAAAGCAATACTTAAATAAAATGGCGTTAAGTTTAGAAGTGGGAGGTCGTTACGTCATAACGTGCTACAAAATGTAGCACGCTGTGATGTCATACGATATTTCAAATCAATCTATCGTCGAAAGTATTTAATTTTGTAAGGAAGGAAAAAATACGTGTCTAATGTTTTAACATAATCTACCAGACGGACATTAAAAAAATTAGGAAAGTCTACACCTCGTGATTTATGTGCATGTATAACGAACAGCCCATTGTAAAGGTGTGGTCGCACGATTATTTTCACTGTTTTTATGGGATAAGCCGGTAAACGAGCAGACGGATCACCTGATGGTAAGCAATCGGCGCCGCTCATAGACACCTGGAACACCAGAGCCGTTACAAGTGCGTCACCGGCCTTTTGAGGATTCGGAATTTGAGGGTTGTTGGGGATTCGAAGATTGGGGGAGGGGGGGGGAGGGGATTGCACGTCTGATAAACTCATTCACTTTTTTTAAATGATGATGTCTGGTATTATTGTGGTAATATTATTACGTATGATGTCTAGTAAGTAAGTACATAACTATAATATAAGTAAAACTACCCCTGCCTACCCCCCAACCAAATTCAAAGGCGTGAAGTTATATAACATATTTTTGTGTGGTTCAGCGCTGACGCCGCCGCCAGTCCGAGAGTACTCCAGTAAGATAACAGCTTCGATTCCATGCATGCATTCCCTTTGCAAAATACAACAATTTAATATTTTGATATATTACTCTAGCTAGCTAGAACACTTGGTAGACTTTAATCGTACGCAGCGCCATCTACATGGCGTTTCTGTGTATAAAACATAATTTATTATAATTAAAGAGTCTGATAGCATAATGGTCGTTTACACCCCTGAACCGTATCTTAACTAAGGGTTACTTTCCGAGCCGTAACACCTAAACTAACCCTTTAGCTGTACAACAGTAAAGTGACACCTAACAAGGTGTCCCTTATAGACTGGTGTAAACTAAAATGTTGTTAATTAATGTGTCTAAATAACCTTATTTTTGTTTAACAGTTAAAATTGGCAATACATTTTGTTTTTCAAAATTTTTAATTGAAACAAAAATTTTTAGCTTTACCTACGCCGGTTGCAGCTCCAAAAGAGATTATGCGTAAGCTATATGTACTATAGCATGCGCTTATATATATTTTTTATTTATAGTACTTGTTTTTTATATTTCGTTAGACATACTAAATGAATTGGGTAGTTTTCAGGGTATTAAATTTAAAAATCTAATTAGTCCGTCAGTTAGATAATGAAAAAATATTAGACACGTATTTTTTTATTTTCTCGTATTAAGTTGCAATACTTAGATAAAATGGCGCTAAGTTTGTGAGTGGTTGTTACGTCATAACGTGCTACAAAATGTGACACGCTGTGACGTCACACGATATTTCAAATTAATATATCGTCGAAAGTATTTAATTTTGTGAGAAAAGAAAAAATACCTGTCTAAAGTTTTAAATTAATGTACCAGTCGGACTTTAAAATAAAATTTAGGAAACTACCCTATTATTATGTTTTTCGGCTTACTCACGTAATTATTTGACGAGGAACTCGACTAGTTTACTGACAGTCGCCGCGTCGTATGTCGCGGAATGCTGCTCATGAATGAGCCTCTAGTATGGCTTGCGAAGGCCTAACGGGTTGCCGGGGCTCTGGCTCAAAGGGCAGGAGTAGGAACGGGGTGGTTTTTAGTCAGTAAGGGTCTGACTCTCCCTTTCGCCTAACCCAGGGCAGGAGACGTCATTGGATGAGACTATGGTGAGAATTTTAATTCAATTCCAGATTTGACATTAGGTACTGTCATTTTGTGAAATAATGATACCACATATACCACACGATAAACAATCAGTGTGTGTGTCAGTGTACCAATTAAAGACGAAATTATTGATTTTTATTTAAATAAATACATAATTATTTATTAATTAGTAATCGCTGCTCTATTTTATAAAAATTTTAATAAACATAAATAATAAACTAAATTAAATTATCGGTTCAGAAATATTTAATTTCCTGATATAGGTACTTAGTTTACGAGAGTAAAATTATAAACGAGAAGAATCGATCCGGAAATATTCCATTTCCATATCGAATAATTGCGCAACGTCACTATTCAGTACTTGTCATTACGATGCAACACTAAAATTGTCAAATCTGTGCCTTTAGCCAAACGCCACTTTAGCTCTTGTCTACCGAGAGAGTAGAAATCAAAATGTATGGGGATGACACTGACTAGTGTCAAAATTTACGTCAATTTCCTACAATTTGGTTTTCTATTCTACATGTAGACAAGCGCTAAATGGCATTTGGCTAAAATTCGTCGTCAAACAGTTACGTATGTCGAAAAACATAGTAATTAATATAGTGTTTATAAGTATACGTTTTTTTTAGTTATAGTTTATGTATTAGTGTTAGGTCATATATTTTTGAGTCTGAATCTAGATTCATGACGCAATTGTCATTATTAATTTTCTTAACACTTATTGCCGAAATTATGATCTAATTTTATTCTGAAATCTCTTGATTGATCTAAGTTTTAGACAAAAATCTAGCTCGATCAATAAATTTTGATTTGATATCGATGTTTAGTATTAAAGCTTATAAGTGACTACTGCTGACCAAAGGCCTCTTCTCAAACGGAGAAGGTTTGAGCATTAATCACTACGCTTGCTCAATGTAGGTTGGGGGTTTCAAACTTATGATTAGAAATTGTAAGCCCAGGTTTCCTCACGATGTTTTCCTTCACCGTTTGTCAGTGGAGTCTAAATAATCTTAGAAAGTACAACTTGGAAAGGGTCACATTTTGATATTAATTGTACGGAATGTCTTATGAAATAGCGAACTTTTGGTCAATGTCAAGAAATTTTGGATTACCTAAAATCGATTATTAATTTCGGTGATAAATTGGTTTGGATAACTTTATTTCTATTTCATATTAATGTCAAATTTGTCAGTAACAGCACGAAATCTGTCATTCATTAATATCTTACATATATTAGTAAGATCTATTTAAAATAAAGGCTCACCTGGGACTCGTAACATAAATAGTGAAAAGTGGGTGTTACATTGTACAGTGGCATTAAGAGTCATAATGTGCACCTGTGCCTACCCCTTCGGGGATGATGTTGAATAGGCGTGATGTTATGTTACGTTATCTATTTAATGACAAAACAAAGACAATTTGTCATCCAATTCCCAGGTTGAGCAAAAATCTAAATTTTCTTCTATCTTCTAATAATTAAAAAAAAAAAAACTAAAAAATCTTACCGAACTAACAAAAGATTCAGATTCAAGAATATTTTGAAAATTTCTTTGTTTTTATGTAAAGGGAATGCGTTATCATGCTTTGAGAATTACTTAAATGTGACTAATTGATTTTTTTTAATTTTTATTAATTATTTTGACGTGTATAATGGTTGTTGCATGATCGTGAATGGATGTTGTCTCATTTTTTTATAGGTACATGAGTCGATTGCGTTGTGCTACTTTTATTTAATATTTTTATGTGTTTTGAAAGTTATAACAGTGTTTTGGACGTTTCCTTTTTGGTTTAGAATACTGGTAATGGATGCGCAAATTGATATTGTATGGATATCCTTAAGTTTAAAGTACGGAATAGAATAAAATGTCACGCAATTCTACTTTAAGTTGCGACGTACTCTTATACCTATATTTCCTATTTGGTGTCAAAAAAGCTATATTAAATTGCAAACTTAAAATCCCTCATTACATACATTGTCATAATAAAAATATGCGCTTCTACACTTCACGTTGCGCATCCATCATATTGTTTTGCGCAAAAAATAAAAGTTAGCGCAACGTCAAATCTACTCTATGCGCCTTAGCTTTATTTTAATTTTAATAACAATTGACCAAACTCAAGCTTTTCATACAAATACATGAATGCTGACCAGTGTATTAAAACCATACATTTGAATGGAAGATCGACCTGTATTGAATAGTTTTTGATAAATGCCATTTTCATGAAATTTTGACATTTTTTTATGTGATAACCCTGTCTCATCCTCCCGAAACCGCTGCATCTCGCGCAAGGATCTACAATAGATACAACCATACAAATACCGGAACACTGAAGTCCGGCGCGTCCCAGGGACATGAATAACTGAGTGCCAAGCACGAATAACTATCGCATTCGTAACGTAAGAGTATCGAGCGCGTTCAGCGCTCTGATTGGCCGGCTCTAGTAAAACAACTAATGAGAGCAGCAGAATAATTTTGAATCAGCTTAATTGATAGATAATTTGGTATATTTTCTATTCATGTATCAGGGAACATTATTTATTAGAAAAATTGTGTATTTTTATCACAAAATCAATAAAGCTTAGCACATTATTATTTGCATAAGATTCTCAAAATATTCAATTTTAAAAGAGATAGATCTCAGTTTGTTCTATATGTATGTGTATGTTTATGCGCATTCATCTCACGATTGGCTGAACCGATTTTGATGCAGTTTTCAGAAAAGGGTTTGGAACACTTAGCAGAAGGTTTTAGTAGGTATATTCATTAACCGCCTTTAAAATTGGGACGTTGAAAGTGGTTTTTTTAAACGTAGTTTATAATAAACTAGGTACTTCCCCGCGGTTTCACACGCTCTGCTCAGCTCCTATTAGTCGTAGCGTGATGTTTTATAGCCTATAGCCATCCTCGATAAATGCACTATCCAAAACAAAAAGAATTATTCAAATCAGCCTTGTAGTTACGGAGATTAGCGCGTTCAAACAAACAAACTCTTCCTCTTTATATAATAGTATAAGATAGGTCGATCTTCCATCGCATCGCATTCATCATCTTATCATCTAGAACAGGGGTGTCCAAACTATACACCCTCGCGGGCTAATTAAATTTCTTAGAAAAGCTGTAGGGCCAGAAAAAATTTTCAGTTGTATAATGACGTTTAACATTGTATTCTTTACTTACAGACTAAACTTGTACACAAATCATACACTGAGTTTTATTATTGTTGTTGCACATAAGATGAAGATGTTGAGATTAAAGTGTGTGTCGCGGGCGCGGGCTCGCGGGCCACATGAAATCAAGCTGCGGGCCGCATGCGGCCCGCGGGCCTTTGTTTGGACAGCCCTGATCTAGAATATTCCCTAATATATAGTTTGTAATACAGAGGAGACGCCGGTGAAGGTGACCGCTGGCATCGCGGCAGGAGAGGTCAATGAAGCTCTGCAGCATCAGATCAAGGTTCTGAGCTGGTAAGTCTTTTTGTGGTTTTTTAGGTATTTCAAAGAAGACGTGATTTTATAATAACTTTCGTGAGACATACTGAATGAAATCGAGTTACTAACGTAAGTATACTGATGAAATCTCGATGAGTAGGCTGCGCGACATCGTCGCGACCGCGCACGCTCCTCATGATGATGAGTCCCTCTGTGACTCGAAAGTAGTAGAGCTTAGTATATTTACGTGAGTAATTCGTAATTTTTATTTGATTCAAAGAAGACTTCTCTTTAAGAGCTTTATTTTTACGTACTTAATTTGTAGTGACAGAACTATACCTAGGCGAGACTTAACCCTTTGAGTACCGTCATTATAAACACAATTAAAGAATAATAGGTTGCGGTCACCGGTGTCCTCGCGGTGTTTGACAGTTTAAATTCACTCAATTTTATGTTTGAGTATTTCAGCTGGTATATCTACAGTTTGTCAACTTTAAAACAGTTAAATTTTATGCAGGCTACAACACCTTTAGTTTTTACTGTATATTAATTATTATCTTTTCGGCTTACTCACGTAACTGTTTGACGAGGAACTCGACTAGCTTCAAGCTATGCTAAAGGCCCATATTCATGAGCAGCATTCCGCGACCCTATTATCATAATGTCGGACTAGTCGAGTTATTCGTCAAAAAGTTACGTGAGCAAACCAAAGCCATAATGATTAATTTGGTATTTAACTGTATAGTTAAATTTTTCGATGTGTAGAAAAACAAACAAACAGTTTAACATATCTAAAAAACAAAATTATCCGTACAAAACAGGACAGTAGAACGCGAGCGCGCCGCCCGAGTCTCAGCGTGTCGTAAAGCAGAGCGCGCCGCGTTACGAGCTCTACGACCACTGGAGCACCCCGCGTCCCCCGCCGCCGCCGCTAGGAGACAGGCCGCGGCACAACTTGAGCGGGATCTGGCTAAGTTACAGACGGTAAGCACACACTATAATAGGTCAAAAGGACAGTGGGAAAAGAGGACAGTAGAACTATAGAACATTACAGCTAAAGGACAGTAGGAAAAGAGGACAGTAGGACAATATAACAGTGAACTATAGGAGGTAGCACCCCGCGTCTCCCGCCGCCGCTGCTAGACGACAGGCTGCGGCACAAATTGAGAGGGATTTGGTTAAATTACAGACGGTAAGTACACACTATAGTAGGACAAAAGGACAGTAGGACTAAAGGATAGTAGAAGTATAGCACCCCATCTTCTCCTCCGCCACTGAGAAGACAGGTTCCGGCACAACTTGAGAGGGATCTGGCTAAGTTACTGTAAAAGAATACATTAAAAAATATAAAAAGTAGTACGGTAAAATGGGGAATGGCTAAGTTACTGTAAAAGAAAACATCAAAAAATATAAAAAGTAGTACGGTAAAATGGGCGAAATGGGACAGAAGAGGGGTCAATCAATACTATGAAAAATTTCCTTGTATCTATTCACCCCTCTTCTGTCCCTATTTTCCTCTCGGTCCCTTTTCACCCCATTTTACGGTAGCCTACCAGTAACTGGAGTATTCCAAGCTACGGTCAGGACTCCAGAGAGAGATGTTTTCCTTATTTCTATGTTTATAATATTATTCGTTAATCTCCAGGAATGGACGATGTTCGTGGCTCGGTCAGGGCTGGTGAAGTTCCCGTCGGAGCCCGGCCAGTATGCACACGCGCTGCAGCTGCACAAGGACAAGCAGAGGGAGATTAGGAGGCAACTCGAGGTATGTTGGTGATTTTGCGGTGGGTAGAGGGCGCTGGGAGCGATAATTGTCTGAAAGATATTTTTGTTCTTGTGATTATTTGTTTTAAATTTTATAATACAGGCTGCCACGTCAGTCGAGTTCACAAGTGGGACTGCCGGGCAAGAGGTCTCGGGTTCGATTCCCGGGTCGGGTAAAGTATTATTGGGATTTTTTTAATTGTCAGTAGTAGCACGGAGTCTGGACTTGTACCCGGTATATGGCAATAGGCTCACCCATATTACATGGGGCGTAAATTGAAAAGTGGGTGTTGTTACATTGTATAGTGGCATTAAGTACCGTAATCTGCACCTCTGCCTACCACATCAGAGACTAAACGCGTAATGTTATGTTATAGCAAATAATTGTTGGTGTAGAATTTTGGGTTTAACGTAAATAACGCAGTTTTAATTATACAGATAGTTTTGCAACGGCAAGAATGTAAGTCAGCGATGTAGTAAGCATTAGATAATATTAGGGCTATAACCAGTGATCGGACCGGACCGATCTTGTAACAAAAGCTAGAAAGAAACCGCAACTTTTCTCACGATTTTAGGATTTTGTTAATTTTGGTGTTGAATAATTTTATTTTATGCTCTTTCTTACATCTTAAAATATTTATTGTTGAAAACAATAAAAGTTTTAATTTTGTTTGGTTTTGTGTTAAATTTAAGAAATAAAATCACGAAACGAAATCAATTGTTTTCTGTATTAATAACAATTATATTAAATGTAATATATGTATAAATATCCCGAAACTGGAACCGGAACTTTCCCGAAAAAAATGTTGTAGTAAGGAAGTCTCCACTTTTTGTTTTTGTTCCTTGAAGTTTAGGTAAATTAGCTCACCTTTTTTCCGATCACTAGTTATAACAGTTCGATTGATAAAATTGACGTGTAAAAGTGCTGCCTTGTAGCCTATTTGCAGAAATAAATCCACGTGTTCTACTTGTATCGTCCATAGACCCGCCTGGCGTCCCTGCAGGCGGAGGTCCGCCAGCAGTTGTTGCTGCACCGCCCGTGGCGCTGCGTGGAGGCGGACTTCGCTGAGTTCCCGGCGCCCGAACTAGCCGCGGTGAGTACATCCTACTAATATTAGAAACGACGCTTACGTTGTGTTTTGTCATGTGAGTGAGGTTAATGTAGGCCCAATTACCCCCCCCAAACCCCTTCCTTGATCCCCCCTCCAATTCCTGAATTTTCAACAATCCTCAAATTCCTAATCCCCGAAAGGCCGGTAACCAACTTGTGACGCCTCTGGTGTACGATCTCCGGCCACCGTAAGCGCGGGCCTGCGGACGGCGAGCATGGGTGGCTCCCCGACGGCGAGCGTTCCGCGCGCGCCTCAAAGAGCCATCAGACCACGGATGAGACCCAACAGGGCTGATGCCGGTTCGGATTCGCGGAGAACCTAACGGGTAACCGGGGATCCGGTTCGAGGTGCAGGAGAAGGAACGGGGTGGTTTTTAGTCAGTAAGAGTCTGACACTCCCTCCCGCCTCACCCAGGCGGGAGCAGAATTTCGATGATTTTCCCTCCTTAAAAAAACGACTGGTGTTCCAAGTGTCCATGGGCGACGCCGATTGCTTACTATTAGGTGATCTATCTGCTCGTTTACCGGTTTATACCATAAAATAGAAAGATCCGCTACTCTAGATAAGTAGCTTTACACCGGTAAGGAGTCAAATAAATGCATAGAAAAGCTAATATAGAAAGTATATTAATCCCCAAATGGTTTACCAAACTAAAACCCATACTATCCCCAGTTGGGCCTCAGGTAATCTCACTCACAAGACGAAACAAAACAGCTGTTTCACGTCGGTTTTCTGTTCAGCCGTGGTATCACTCCGGTCGAGCCGGCCCATTCATGCCGAAGCATGGGTCTCCCGCACTTATCTAATAAATAATGAATTGTTATACTTACATTTACCCACAGGTGCTATCATCCAAGTCTGTAGACGTGGGCACGATAAAGTACCCAGCGCCCTCTACTGGACAGACGGAGGACACTATATTCGTCACTCCTGCGCAACTCGCCAAGTAAGTACCTGATCGTATAGTAACTTAACATTTTGAGAAAAGAAATTCAATAAACACCTACAGCAGGACCTCTTTAACATGTTAAACGCCATGGGGGTCACCGGTGACCGGCGTTAGCGGAGGATTTACCTTCAACAGTTTTTTATTGGCAGTCAAAGCATAGTATAAAGAACAAAGTAGGTTATCTTCATACAAATGCTCCGCGCGCGGCTTATATGTGTGCGCCATAGTATCTATGCGTCGACGCACGCACACTTTAACAAAATCTCGACCCGTTTCTCAGTGCGCCAGGCAGGGCTAACACTACACGAGGTTTGCGCGCGCATCACTTTTCGGCACTGTTAAATGAAATAAAAAATGTCTGATAACCGTAGAAGAACGTATTGCTGTGTGTTTGGGTGTCTTAATAATTAATCGACTCCAGAACTGTCTCTGTTCAGATTACCTATTGAACAGGAAAGGTAAGCTAGTCACTTTTTCTAGCATAATATAATTTGTAGGTACTTGATGATGAGATACCTACTTACTTATTCTATCATTCTTCATAGTTCCTACTCAACCAGAAATGTAATTACCTACTATACTTAAATATTATAAGAAAATGTGGTATTGTATTGTTTATGTCACAGTTTATCTGATTTGTTAAGAGCGTGGCCGTGTCGCATTTTTCCATATAAATGTATTCCAAAATTTACTTTCTGAATACTATGTATAGAGCTAAAGTTTATTTTAAGAAGTTAATAATCTTTTTATAAGCTTTTTATTTTTACTAAATTTATAAATTGATAAAATATTCAATCATAATATTTATCTTTTCATTTCATAAATTTAGATCAAGTGCTGCTTGTTCGAAAATATTAACTAAAAGTAAAAGTGACAACCCTGGGGATCAACGCAAGAGTAGGCTAATAACTCGGCGGGCGGCCTTAGATAACCTACTGTGTTCTTTATACTATGGTCAAAGTCTTAATCCGAATTCTGAAAATGTAACCCCCGTTCGGATTAGCGCAGCAAGCGTTCGGATTATAGGGGTATAGATGATAGGGGTATAGATGATAGGGGTATTTTTTGTGAATAAAATTACTTAATAAGTACATAGGTAATACAAAGTCTGTATTGATCTATAAACGTTACGTATTTTATTCAACGTTTTTGTAGAAATCCAGTATTTTGGTTTGTCGTGTTTTTTTATATCATAAGCCGGTAAACGAGCAGACGTATCACCTGATCGTAAGCAATCGGGGTCGCCCATGGACACCTGGAACACCAGAGGCGTTACAGGTGCGTTACCGGCCTTTTGGGGATTGGGAGTTTGAGGACCGTTGGGGATTCAGGAGTTGGGGAGATTGGGGAAGGGGAGGGTAATTGGGCCTCCGGTAACTGACTCACACGACGAAACACAACGCAAGCGTTGCTTCACGTCGGTTTTCTGCTCGGCCGTGGTATCACTCCGGTCGAGCCGGCCCATTCGTGCCGAAGCATGGCTTTCACACACTTAGATCGTGTGGTGTTTAATGACAAATAAAATGCTTTGTCTCGTTATTGCAAAACGCGCGGGGGTTCGGATTAACGAGGTCCTGCTGTATAATCTTTGAAAAGAAGCGAAAATGTTTGAATCATAATTTATTCAAATTTCTTTTTCACCAACAGATTACGCGAATTGGTGACAGAACTTCAATCAGACGATGTGAAACTGGAACTACTGCCGCTGGACAACACCGTCTGTGCCGCTTAAATATAGAGGGGACTTTGATAACAAGCATAATGTTAGAGTGAGATATGTATGAAAGAGATAGAGATATCTATTGTTAATTATAGGTTGGAATTTTGAAATGCCACCTGAAGAGGAAGTACTGTTAATACTTTAGATGTCGCGGAGAACCTAACGGGTAACCGGGGCTCCGGCTCGAAGAGCAGGAGTAGGACCGGGATAAAAGGCGTGAAGTTATGGTATGTTATGTGTTATTAAGAGTAGTTTCCCTTCGGGTGGCATTGCAAAATTCCACCCTATATAGGGTTTTATGACCGATCTGGATTCAAAATCTTCGACTGTATCACGGCAATATTATCATACAGTATTGTACCTCGGCAGAATGACAGAGTTAAATACCTACAGCCGCGCGGTACGTAAACATGCGTTAGGGCTGCCCGTCTCAATGGCGACCTCTCGCGTCCGGGCCTAGAGCGGGCCATGATACGGAGCGAGGGGGACTGAGATGCCGTCTCCTCCTTTTGCGAAGCAGTCATGTTAGCTAAGGAGGACGCGGGACGAGGCAACCCAGCCATCGCGAAGGACACACCGGGCGTCGGGGATCGCGGGACGATCTCCGGCCACCGTAAGCGCGGGCCTGCGGACGGCGAGCATGGGTGGCTCCCCGTCCGACCAGAAACAGACCCGAGCGTACGGCGCGACGCGTTCCGCGCGCGCCTCAAAGAGCCATCAGACCATCTGTGGTGGTCTGATGACTCTTTGAGGCGCGCGCGGAGTCTCGGAGAACCTAACGGGTAACCGGGGCTCCGGCTCGACGTGCAGGAGAAGGAACGGGGTGGTTTTTAGTCAGTAAGAGTCTGACACTCCCTCCCGCCTCACCCGGGCGGGAGGGAGTGTCAGACTCTTACTCCTTCTCCTTCTCCTGCACGTCGAGCCGGAGCCCCGGTTACCCGTTAGGTTCTCCGCGGCAGGCACATAGGTATAGCTCTCGTCTCGTCCGTTTGTATGAAATTGGAATACTGGTAACTTTCAATTTATGTATAAACTCCATACATAAATGTATGTATGGAGTTTTTGTCAAAAATTTGATCGATTCAGAGATTTTGTGTTCAGATCGGTTTTCCATTTCAGCTGATAGTAGATAGTATAATGTTTATTTAGTGAAGTGCATTAAAAGGCATATATTTTAAACATTAAGTATTATTTATTGGAATATTAAGTTTTTTTGATTAAGATTGTAATTGCTGAGCTAGGGCGCGTGGGTTCGATTCCTGGAAAAGGAAGTGTTATGGCGTCTTGATACCTTGTAGTTTCTTGATTAAGAAAATCCATGCGTTGTGAGTACATATTTTTTTTTTATTAAAGTCAAAGTTAAAATATTTATTTCAATTAAATCATAATTTGGTACTTTTGACACGTCAACAAATACAAAATAAATAATAGTCTGTCAGTCAGTCCGTCAGTGAAGCTAGGTGCTCATTCCAAAATGTACTAAATACACTTAGTACATTAATCATACTTTACCCGACCCGGGAATCGAACCCGAGACCCATTGCCTAACAGTCGGACTTGCGAACACTCGGCCACCGAGCGAGAATATGTAATAATAATAATAAAGTATAATATACACCTCTGCCTACTCCTTTACGGAATAGAAGGCATGATGTTATTTTGTAATTTGGTTTATGTATCTCAATTAATCCTGTAAGAGATTAATTTCCGATGATACTGTTGTTGAGGATATTGGAAAATAGCGGGCACAGGGACGTAGGTAGCGTCGTATCTTTTTTTATGGGACAAGCCCGCCACAACCTCCCAAAACCACTGCAACTTCTGTAAGCCAGGATCTACAGTAGATACAACCATGAAAACACCGGAACACGGAAGTCCGGCGCGTCCCAGGGACATGAGTAACTGTCTTGGTTCCCGCAACGAAGTGAATCAGAAGATATTATAAGAGGAGAAGAAAAATAATGATAGTTTCCACTTCCCTAGCCCTGTATCTGCCTTATCTTATATATATGGGGCCCCCGATAAATGGACTGCCTCGTTGGCCGAGTGGTCGCAATTGCGACTGCCGGGTAAAGGGGTCTCGGGTTCGATTCCCGGGTCGGGCCTTTGCCCGATTACTGGGTTCTTAAAAAATTCTCAGTAGTAGCACGGAGTCTGGAACTGTGCCCGGTATATGGCAATAGGCTCACCCCCTATTACATGGGACTCATAACATAAATAGTGAAAAGTGGGTGTTACATTGTACAGTGGTATAATGTGCACCTCTGCCTACCCCTTCGGGGATAAAAGGCGTGATATTATGTTATGTTATGGGGCCCCCGGCCTACGGAGACCATTTATTACGGCAGTAACTATGGAAAAACTAAAGTAATTATTGTCTGATAATACGGTATTTTACAACTGATCAAATTCAATACTTTTATCGAAACGTCAAACGTAATCCCCAAAAGGCCGGTAACGCACTTGTAACGCCTCTGGTGTTCCAGGTATCCATGGGCGGCGCCGATTGCTTACTATCAGGTGATCCGTCTGCTCGTTTACCGGCCTATCCCCTCGCCCCCCCTTATGAGCACCCGGTGGATCGTAAGAAAAAATGCTCCATGCTGCTTTCTCTTTTATAAAATCTATTATTAATGTTTTGTTTTTATTTTGACTGTATTTGTTTTATTTCTATTGTAATGATCCTTGTTTTCGTGTGCCAATGGCCAAATAAATGCATTTACTTGCATGCATAAGGATAAGGAAATGCATAAGGAACGCGGACGCTCGACGGGTTATATCATAAAAAAATGAAACTTCTCAGAGTAATCTCAGATTTTTAGTATGGTCCTAATAATAAAATGTTACATAGAGGGCACCATAGAAATCGATGGTTAAATGTAAGAAATTGCTATGTTAGTGGCAAGTCAAAATCATTTATTTCAATTAGGCCAGAATAGCACTTTTGAACGTCAACAAATACAATAAATACAATTGTCTTTTATAAATATCAGTTTCGAATCTGATCACATTTTATTTTTATTGTTGAAAAGAATTTTAAAAGTATCTTATCCAAAAAAGTATTTGTAAAATACTAAAGAAATAATGTATCTAAATGTAAGATATAAAATGGAATTTAAAAAAAGTATTTCAAATACAAGATCGAAATACGTATTTTGTATCTTGTATTTCAGATATTTGTATCTCAAATAAGTTACATCTCTGTAAGTGTAATGACGGGCCATGTCACGCGACAAGATGTCCTTCGTGTCAATGTGTGTGTGTTCTGCGTGTAAGTCTATAGTAGCCAGGTGTCGCGGAGAACCTAACGGGTAACCGGGGCTCCGGGTCGACGTGCAGGAGAAGGAACGGGGTGGTTTTTAGTCAGTAAGAGTCTGACACTCCCTCCCGCCTCACCCAGGCGGGAGCAGTCATTCGATGATTTTCCCCTTAAAAAAAAATAGTAGCCAGGTGCCACAGTCGTTGTTTCAAGAGTCTACGTCCGCTTTTTTCAATGTCCTTGACTGTCGTAATAAATTAAACGAACTATCTAAACAGATAAATACAATTGGAATGTCTGTTTGTAATATTAAACTACCAGATTCTTACTGTCTGTCTGTCTGTTTGTACTGGCTAATCTCTGAAATGGCTAGACCTATTTTGATGGGACTTTTATTGACATAAAGTCAAAAATTCAATGAATAAATTTGATAGATTTGGGTAGGTAGATAGTGGCCAGCAGCTACTGTACGAATTATACATGTTATTAAATAGTAATTATTTTATTAGTTATTATCTCGTTGTCTGCCTCGTTGGCCGAGTGGTCGCGAGTGAGACTGCCGGGCAAGGGGTCTCGGATTCGATTCCCGGGCAAAGTATTACTGGGTTTTTAAAAGGAGTCTGGAAATGTGCCCGGTATATGGCTATAGGCTCACCCCCTATTACATGGGACTCATAACATAAATAGTGAAAAGTGGATGTTACATTGTACAGTCGCATTAATTGCCGTAATGTGCACCTTTGCTTACCCCTTTGGGGGTAAAAAGGCGTGATGTTATGTTATGTTATCTCGTTGATCGAGAGTATATTAAAATGCACTTATATTTAATAAAATGTCTCGGGTTCGATATCTGAGTCTGGCAATTTTTTTTACGGCCGGTAACGCACTTGTAACGCCTCTGGTGTTCCAGGTGTCCATGGGCGACGCCGATTGCTTACCATCAGGTGATCCGTCTGCTTGTTTACCGGCTTATCCCATAAAAAAAAAGTTATTGATCGGAAAACAATTATAAAGGACTGGTTTAAGTATGTAACGACGGTAATTCATCACCCCTATATAAATTATTATATTAGCTTGTTCTCTGCTTATACTAATATTGTTAGCATGCTTGTATATGTATATAAGGAATATGTTCACGTACTTATTGTTTAAATATAATTACTTGTAATACGTAAATAAATATATCATTATTTATTGACTTTTGTGTTTTATTTTTTACTAGCTTTTACCCGCGGCTTCGCACGCGTCACAAAAGGATAAAAAGTAGCCTATGTGACATATAACAATACAGACAGCGCCATCTATACCAATTCTTTTGTTTTCCCCCGGGAATATCAAAGTTTTCCGGGATAAAAAGTACCCTATTATTTAATCCGGACTTCTAACTTTATGTCTGCAGAAATTCAAAGCAATCGGTTTAGTAGTTACGGCGTGAAAGCGGAACAAACAAACAAACTCACTTTTCCATTTATTATAGTAAGGACTATAAGATTTTCGTAGATACCTTGGTCCTCGTATGAGAGCCATGTTTTAGCATTGGGCCGGCTCCACAAGAGTGATATCATGGCGTCAAAGAAAACCGGCGTGAAACAACCACAGCGTTGATTGTATACAGTCATGTGTGTGAGTGAGGTTACCGGAATAGGTCCAATCCTACTCCGTAATTCTTTTTTACACTACTTTGGTAAACGGGCATCCGCGAGGACACCGGTGACCGCAACCTATTGTTCTTTAATTGTGTCTTTAATGACGG